CTCCTGCTAGACTCAGCTCCTGCTAACCTCATCTCCTGCTAACCTCAGCTCCTGCTAACATCAGCTCCTGCAAACCTCAGCTCCTGCTAACACCAGCTCCTGCTAGACTCAGCCCCTGCTAGCCTCAGCTCCTGCTAGCCCCCTGCATGTAAACCCCAACTGTGTGAAAGTCAAAGTTCACCGATGAAACACGAGAGCACTTCTGTACCAGCAGTGTTCCACCACGACTGCACTCATAAGAACACAACACGCAGACTGACAGAGAAGCTGTCGATGCGTTGCAGCGGCAAAAACAACGTTTATTAGCTTTAGCCTCCTTTAGCATCACAGTTGAAGTGAGCCGGTGTAAGCTAACCACGTCTGTTTGCGTCACCAGCTCCTACCTGGATGTTCCTGAAGCTTGGCTGAGGGAACACTGAGCAGCCTTCGGGACTGTCAGTTCTGATGATCGTTACGTTGCTGAAGTATTTCGTAACGTCGCTAACCTGAAAAACCTGAAGGGATCGAACAGTGTGCGTCTGTTTATCTCCATGTCACGTTCACTGGCGCCTCGTAATTTACACCGCTGCCGTTTGAGGGACGCGTGGTGGATTCAGGGTCCGCAAACCATCAACGACGTTATACTGAATAAAGATCATTGCTGTTATTTATTTAATTTATCAATTTGTATATATTTGATTGATGTAATTTATTGATGCATAAATAAAAGATCAACATTTATGTCTGGCCTGTACTCGCATTAGTCAGTGAATGAAGGTTTACAGTGAACCATGAGGTGCACGGCCCCATGTTTTACAAATCAAACTGGGGTCACTCATATTTTTACTGGGAATGAAGGGAGGCTACTTTATTTCTGTGAGAATGATTAGAACAACCACTGTATGTTTTTTTTATTACTCCCTCTTATCAATAAAGGCATCAGCCCCCAAAACCCATATTTGTTAGGCTATAAATAAAATCGGATTTATTTTGTGTACATATATATTTGTACCTCTTGTACATTCAATCTTACATACAGAAATCCCTGCAAAAACTGTGGTATTTATACTTTTATTGTTTATTAAAACATGTTCCATACAATTAGACAGAGGCAGCACAGGGCAAAATGAGCCATCTACATGGCTTCAAATTATCGGCCTTTGTATCACGATGATTCCTCCACTCACAACAGTGACTTGGCCTTTAAGAACTTCTTCAACCAGGTGAACCTGATTCATAATTTGGATCTTGAATGAATGCAAAACAAAACAGATATAAGAGTTCATCACAAACTAAGGCTAAATGGTTTTGGCAAACACCGGATGAACATTAAGGATCCCACTGTTTTGTTACATTTTATTGGGCACATTAACCAAAGAATGAAATCTAGTGTCGCCTGATTCCTTCACATCTCACTGGCCATCGTAACATCGGATACAAATACATCAATTATATTTCAGTCCAATTTCCACATACACGATTAATTTCAATAAAAATACTGCATGGACAAATCACAAACCTTAAATGACACATTTGTACTACCATAAATACTATGATGTTCAAACGCAACTAATATAGGTAAGAGTGATAAATAAGAGCTAGTATGACCTCTAAAATTTATCATCTAAACAGTTTCAGAGATTTGTAGTACATTATTGTTATTCTGAAGCGTTGTTGCTATTTTGCTGAACATCAAAATGGTTTGTGTCTGTTTCTTCATTTGTCTTTTCTGGGAGTTAAATATTTTTAGCTTAAATACTTTTTGGGTAAAACACCACATAGAGGTTTATTAACTGTCTATACACAGAGGTAGTTACTTCTCTCTCAGTTCATGTTCAACTGCCTTGACTCATGTACTTTCATAGTACTACTGGCACGTACCTGTATGGTTTACATAAATACATTATAAGTCGTTTTTGTCTGTTATACACATATTAATTGGAGAGTTATCGTCGCTCTGTGAGAATTCGTCATTCTTCACACTGGACGCAGACTCTTCCTCAGTCTGTATCAGCTCATGTTTACGTTTGTGAAGCCTCAGGCTCTGTGAGCGGCTGAATCCTCTCCCACAGATGTCGCAGCCGTACGGCCTCTCTCCCGTGTGGAGCCTGATGTGGTTCTTGAGGCTCGAAGCTCGCGTGAAACTCTTTTCACACTCTGGACAGTCAAACTTCTCCCCGAAGTGGATTTTCTCATGCTCCCTCAAGCGGCCGGACTGGTTGAAGCTCCTGTCGCACACGGAGCAGTGGTAGGGCCTCTCCCCCGTGTGTGTGAGTCGGTGTCTGTTCATGGCCCCCGAATGGGCGAAGCTCTTCCCGCAGTCCGGGCAGGAGAAAGGTTTCTCTCCCGTATGCACTTTCTGGTGACCTTTGAGTTGACCTTTCTGGGTGAACTGCTTCCCACACAGAGAGCACTGAAAGGGTTTCTCTCCCGAGTGGATTCTCATGTGGATTTGCAGCGCAGACATCTTGTGGCAGTCTCTTCCACAGAGGCCACAACAGTAAGAGCTCTTTGTCTGATTGTTTGTCAATGGATCCTGCATTGGTGATAATGGAGGACTGTCTTTTTCACTGTTAGCAACACATTCAGGATCCTCTTCAGACACTGGAAACACAAATGGGTAGAGTTGAAACATGCTTTTAAGAAACACTGAACCAAATAAGTAAAACGGTTAAAGCACTGGTTTCTATGGAGCCAACAAGGTGCAAGATTTAAAGGACGATGCAATGAGATTCCAAAAATTAAATGATTAGACATTCAATCTTTTTACAGTTGTGTTATATCATTATATCCTCCAGATAATGAGGTATGTCACAGCATACATAACTTTAGGTTTAAGACATTGGGCAGCCTCCTTTGTAATTCACAACAGCATTCATTTTGAGTTTAATTAAGTACCCTTATAGAAAAACAGGCCTCTCTTTTCAATTTGTCATTATAAGAAAACAATCTAATATAGTATCTATAAAATATTATGAATTTCCCAGTGCATGGTTCTAGGTTTCTCATTTTCAAACTATACAGTCAGAGTCAACTGCAAACAGAGACTTTCACATATCAAAATAATAGAAAATGGTTTTTGGAAGTAGCATTTGTTAAGGTTTGAATTTTGCTGTTTGGCAAACTCATAGAATTATATTTAATAATATATAGTCAATTAAATATGTCAATGAGAAACCTGTTGACGTGATCTTTAGGTGGGGTGAAGGAACACTAACTCCAAATCCAAGTTGGATGCAGTTTACCTCAGGTTGTAGCTGTAAAGTCAGAAGAAGACAACCTTGCCTTTAACTTTGTGATGGAAAACAGATTTAACCATTTCCTTATTCCGGGTTTTCAGTCTGAACCGAGATCTTTGCAAAACTACACACAAAAACAGCCTGTTCAGAATTTGCTGGCCTTGTCTGGACCTACACTTAACAAATCACAAAAAGAAAAAAAAAAAGAGAAGTGCAGTGATACAGTATACAGAAAGAGAGGGGGGGCAGAAATCAGTGAGAGAAAACTATAATAAACTTAAATTCCAGCCGGCTCGGGTCATTCGATGGAACCAGGGCTCGGTTCATAATGCAGCCACTAACAGTAGCTGAGCAACATTTTCAATCCTGTAATCTAATGTTCTCACTGTTGTCAGGTTCCTCCTCTTCTTTCACTGTAATCCTGATATCTGTGCTGCTCTCCTCCTCCTGCTGCTGCTCCTCCTCCTCCTCCTCAGTTTCCTCTGTCATGGTACAATCTTCACTCCCAGACATCTGCTCAGGAGCTTCTTCTACTGAGGGAAACAACGTGTTGGAGTTAAAAATCAGCATTAAATGTCTTCACATATTCTTTAATTAAGTGTAACTGAAGGAATTCCATGTTTCTGTACCACACAAAGGCTCCTCTTCTTCCTCCTCCTTCACGATTACATTCATTTGTGGACTGGACGCGACGTCCTCCTGCTGCTCTTCTGCTTCTCTCTGGTTGTCTTCACGCTGAGCTGCTTTGTCACAGTTGAGACTGTCTAGCGGACGGAGCTCAGCTGAACTGGGTGAACTCTGTGTGTCTGACACCTTAAAAAAGGACGAACGAAAGCAATGACTATGTTATGAGGTTAAATCGTGAAATATCAAGCCTCAATTACATTTCTTTGCCATAAGCGTTTGAAGCCTACATCTTAGGAATCATTACCAATTTTTTGCCAAACAGTAAAGAAACATTTTTACTCCCTAATTTTGGCATCGGTCCCACAAAATCTTTCTCAATGGGGATCTAAAACTCCTGTTTCACATTGACACTGCTGTAAATTGTCACTACCTCAGCACTGATGTTGTCGGTCAGGTCTTGCTGGGACGGTTCACCAACTGGAGCTTGAACTTGTTCTGAGATGACGCCTGTATCGGATTCATTTTTGTTCTGTGTACATGAGCGTTTGTGGTTTCTGAGAGTTCCTGCCAGTGAGAAGTGCCTGCCACAGTCCGTGCAGGTGTACGGCTTCTCCCCGGTGTGAATCCGGGTGTGTCTCCGCAGCTCTCCGGGAGCTACAAAAGACTTGTCGCACTGTGTGCAGCTGTAAGGTTTTTCTCCTGTGTGTGTCCGCATGTGCGTTGTCAGCGTCCACTGCTGCGCAAATGTCTTCCCACAGTCAGAGCAGTGGTAAGGTGTAATGCCGGTGTGGAGACGCTCATGTCTCACCAGAGTACCGGACAGGGCAAAACGTTTGTCACAGAAAGAGCACTGGTACGGCCTCTCTCCAGTGTGAGTCCTCTGATGATCTCTCAGCTCAGCCGCTGAGTTGCAGCTCTTATCGCAGTCCGAACACGGAAACTTCTTCCTCGTAAAGCCGGCGACAACCTCCGAGTGCATCGCCTCTAAGTGTGTCTTCAGGTGCCAGTGACGAGAAAAGCTCTTCAGACAGATGGAGCAGTGATACGGCCTCTCGCCGGTGTGTGTCCGCCGGTGCAGCCTGAGCTCCCCCTGACTAGCAAATCGTTTCTCACAGAAAGTGCATGGGAACGGCTTCTCCCCTGTGTGGACCCTTTCGTGGATCATGAGAAGCCCCTTCTCTGGAAATCTCTTCTCACACATCGAGCAGGGGAAGGGCCTCTCTCCTGAGTGAGTGCGTAAGTGGCGTTGAAGTTTGGAGGCGTAAGGAAAGTCTTTGCCACACACTGAGCAGCTGTGAAGAGACGGAGGTTTTTCATTCTCTGTGTGATCGAATGTCTTTGAGGGAGCCTCTGCAATTACGATCCCAGGGACGGCACTTTCTCCTGTATGAAACATACACCAAAAAAAAAGAACGCTTTTTTTAAGGAATGCATCTCTGATCACAACGGACAGACGTGTTTACACGTCAGTGGAAGAATGATTTTATGGCACAATACATTTAAGTTTCTTACAGACTAAACAGATCAATGAGAGCTTCAAAGATTTGAAAACAATAGAAAGAGCACTGATAGTGAAACACTGCACACGTGACTGTTTTTGCAGCAAATCAGTGAGTCGCACATTTTACTCACCGAGATCTGAGAAATCGACTTCCTCCCCATCAGAGTTGATCAGACCTCCTATTTCTTGGTGATCTTCCTCCGCGAGGATCACAGCTGGTCCAAAGTCGTCTGGGTTTTCAGAGCCCATCTCTCAGACACACAACCTTAAAGAGGTGAACAATCTGAGTCAGTAAACAAATATTCAATGAGTAACTTATCTCAATTCTATAACTGTAATACTACAATTTTGAGCTGAAAAGGTCCGAGGTCTCAGTCATCGTATTTTAATATAAAAATTAATAATGATAACAAGCAACATTTCTTACAGACAGGACGAGATGATATTAAGAAATATTTCAGATATTAGCTGAAACTATTATTCAATTTATCAATAAGTCAATGAATCTGAACGTATGTTTTCAAGAAAGAATTCCAAACATTTGTTGGTTAAATTGAATTGAATCCATCATTTTGGGCTTTATTATGAATTACAGTAACAGCATCACTATAAGCCAAGAGAATAAATGATGGATTAAGTGATAACCTGAGTTGTTATTTATATTGTTGTGGTCGGTAAAGAAGATAAAACTCTAAAAGATGAATTCAGTGACTGTGCTTGTGTCTTTATTGTTGTCCAGCTCTAGCAGTGGATGTCAATGATGATGGAGCAGAGGAGTGTCTTTGACACTTTGTCCCCCTCCCAGCAGCTGTGGTAGTGGGGCTGTCAGCTACACACCACTGTCTCCACGCTGGAAGACATCCATTGTCCTGCTCAAGGACACTTCAGCAGGGCGGATGCTTTGCTGTGACAGGGGGACAGTGAACCTGACAGGGCCTTTAAACCTGGGGGACAGTCCACCTCAGAAACAAGGAGTTTACAATCTGGGGCAACGTTGTTTTATGATGAAATTATAAGAGTAGTGTTCATGCTGTCAAAGGAATGGTTTGGATGTGAAGGCTGGCATCTCTGCACTGAGCAGCCCAGCTAGCACGGTAGCATTAGCTTCCAGAGGGGCTGTGAATTTGGGGTTCAAGCTTCCAAATCTGATTATTTGTGATTTTTTTTTTTTAACTTTCCAGCGACCGAACTGACGAAACCCGTTGTTTTCTAACGTGACTTGATTCCGATGCTCAACACGAGGAGCAGCCGCTGTCTGCAGCGGACTCCGGGCTTTGACCTCTGGAGGAGCCTCAGCTGAGATGTGACCATCCCTCCGGTCAGACAAAACTGCTCTCTAGCCTGCTAGCCACAGACATGGCGTCCACTGGCTCTTTAGCAATTAGCCAACGATTAGCCGCCCCCCCACCCCACCTTCCACCAGCAGCAGCAGCAGCCACACGAGCAACAACAACAACAACAACAACAGCAGCCCGCAGAGGTTGACCAGAGTCCGGCGTGAAAATGACAGGTTTACCGGGAACCTCCGCTCGCTCGCTAACTTAGCTAGCTCCCGACAGACAATAGAGATTTGGACCAACCTCAGCATAGATTCTCCCCCTCAGGTAAAAAGTAGTCGCTCGGCAGAAGTTTCTATTAACGACTCGCTCATGTCTCTACTTCAGAATCACGTTCACGACCCGTGTGCTCAAACGGCTCGTCCGGTTAGTGTCCGACAACTTGTGGCTGAAGTTAAACCGGCGTTAGGATGTGATGATAACCTTTGTAGCTTTAGCCGCTAGCTAATTACACTGACATGGGCACTTCCGGTTGGCTTTTCAATCACAATAAAAGCCCCCAATAACAACACGTCTCCTGCTGAAGTTTAGTTTTTTATACTTGAAATGAATAAAGTTCACACGAAGTAGAACTTTTCAATGATGAAATAATAATAATAATAATAATAACAACAAACGTCATAAATATATGCAGTGCAAGAAAAAGAGTTTGAGATGTTAATTTACATCTATTATAATATATTATCTTTTTTTATCAATATTTACAAACATTGCCATGTGTCCTTTATGGTTCAATATTTATTGTTTTAAATAACAATATATACCAAATATTCCAAATATTTGATGCATTCAAATAAAGGTACTCGTTTTGCCGAACGTCCTACTAAACCCACCTTTATTTTGTTATCGTGTTATGTGATATTATGTCACAGTCCTTGGGTCAAACACTGTGACAGAAGAAGGAAAGTTCCAAACTTTTTATATTTGAGGATGTGGCTGGGGAATAAAAATGATCTGGGTCCGTGAGACCTAGAAGCAAGTAGAATCTCAAACAGTGATGGATGGATTCTGCTCCTGAACTGAGGTGCACTTTATCAAATAATGAAAATAAAGGGGAAGGAGAAAATACCTTTTCACAGCAGTAACTGAGCTACAAGAAGTTTGGAAACTATCACACTGAAATATTTGGTGACTAAAATCAGGTTCAAACAATGATAGAGGTATAAGTACTATCATTCTCCTGCATGTTCAAAATAATTCATCACATAAAGTATCTTATATTTAAGAATTCAGAAACTTAAGTAAAAGCTTTGACTAAAACAAGTATATTTTGAGTAATTAGAACCTTACATTTTATTATTTCCAAAGTTCAAACATTTTGTGATCTGTGGATTCATATTGTGAGATAGAATAGATTGTAAGTCAAGTTTAGGTGAATCACAAATAGAAACACACAGAAACAAATGATTCACAATAATGATTTACTTTCTTTAACACTATAGTTCAAACAAGAAACAATGGAGCCGACTGTACACCAGACATACTGTTATATATGATTCCTACCGTATTGCTTGTTATGTGAAAGATATTTATTTTCCCATAGTAATGGTGTATTATATTTACAGATTACTGATGACATTGTTTATTTACCACTAACGGTTGCTGTTTCGGTCGCCCCAGAGGTTTTGTTGGTGGCTTTGGCTTCTTGTTGTGATTCTTCAGGTGCTTACGATAACCTTGATCGTAATGGAAGCACTTGCCACATTTATCACATGTGTAGGGTTTCTCTCCCGTGTGAACTCGCAGGTGTACTTTCAGAGCGGATGCTCTGGCATAGCTTTTACCACAGATTGAGCAGAGATGGGGTCGCTCGCCTGTGTGAGTTTTGAGGTGCACGTTGAGGTGGGAGGATTGTGCAAATGTCCTCCCACACTGGACACAGTGGAAATTCTTCTCTCCAGTGTGCGTCAACTCGTGTTTTCTTAGAGAACCTGCTGACATGCAGCTCTTTCCACACTCTGAACAGAGAAAAGTTGTATCTCCGGCGTGAGTGCGCGTATGCATTTTGAAATAATATTTGTTTTTGAATGTCTTGGTGCAGTCAGGACATGCGTAAGGCTTTTTGTGAGTGTCTCTGTGTTCTTCCAGCTGTTGTTTCTGAGGGAACTCCATCCCACACTCTCCACAAACATGAACTGTCACAGGAGCTGCTTTAGGAGGACTCTCTCGAACCAATGTCCAAATCTTTACCTCTCCTGTGAGAAAAAACACACAGTTGTTGGACAGTCACACCAGCATTAAAAAAAAAGGCAAATACAAAATATTTCACTAACATCAATGTTGTGCCATGTTCTGGTGTGAACACGTCTTCAGAGCAGAGTATATACAAGTTCAGATTTATTAGAGACGAAAGTCAAAATCAACACCTGGGAACATCCACTGCTGCCGTGTAAATACAAGAGTAGATCTGCGTAACTTATCTTTTCATTTAATAAATACACAATTGTATATTAAAGGTAGGGTTGGTGTTTCTGAAACACTTTTTAATCTTATTTGTTGAAATCCTCTTCACATGCAGATAGTATCAATAAATAAAGTTGTCTCCTGGTGGGAGGAGGTGGGACTTATCGTGTCGCCTGCTGTTACTAACTTTTCCAGGATTAGCAACCCTAGCTTTAATATTTAGGAAAAGTGGATTTCACTGAAAAACAAATGTGTAATGAAAAGAGAGACTGAAGCTTCTTGTGGCCTCTGACCTTTGTGGACTTTCATGTGAGTTTTGAGGTTTCCGCTCTGGGTGAATCCTCTTCCACATATGAAGCACTTAAATGGTTTTTTGCCCGAGTGAATGACAAGGTGTCGCCTCAGAGCCGAGTTGTGACAGAAGACTTTTCCACAGGTCGGACAGTTGGCCTTCTTCTTGGGTCTGTGCGGCCCCTGGTATTGTTTCGGCTCCACTGAAGGGTTTTCCAGAGACTGTTCATCCTCAGATTCCAGCTGTTTTGGAGTTTTTCCTTAAGAAGAAAAACACAAGCAAGTGAAAATATTACAAAGCAATGAGTCTGAACTGATATTCTATTAATACTTATAACACATAATACTCATCACTTGCAGCTTCTATCCAGCAACTAGACATTAAACACAGAAAAAAACTCACTCTCAGTCTGACTCACCTTCGGGTGCTGGGCTGTGATCCAGGGCTGCTATTGTAGGAGTCAGTTCAACAAGCTGAATTCTCTGCATTTTCTCTGAAGTGGCGTCCTGTGGCTGACGTGAGCTGAGATCGAGCCCTGAGGCTGGCGCTACAGAAGAAGTCACAGTAATAATATTAAGCTGTGGATCATTTGATGTTCCCAAACTGAAGTGATTGTTTTACTGGATTTTATAACAACTTCTTACAACTTTATTTTATCGCAGATAAGAAGTTCTACATTGTTTTACATTGCTCAGGAATGGAAGGATGCATTTGAAATTGGACAGGGTAGTCGCGCCACACTTGACAAGGGTGAAACCCAAAAGATGAACGGTTCTTGAAAAAAGGGATTTCCACACATGAACTAGATTTCTGGAATTAGTGACAGGTGAGGATTATTTTTAACCTTGCCTTTAATACTGGCTTTATTTGCAGAGAGTCCACCTCTTTGGTTTCTGAATCTAACACAATGGAGATTATTTCTGAGCCTTCACAGATTTTTCTTCTAAAAAGGTGTCCCAATCACCCCCCCCCCCCAAACCAAACCAAAAATTTATGACAAATACAATTTTCTTACCAGAGTTGGAAGGATCCCATTCTCCTCTAGAGTTGATCAAACCATTATTTGTCTCTAACTCCTCTTGCACCTTCGACATGACGCTGGTCTTTATATCGTGCGCGGTCATATGAGACTTGACGTGTCTCAGCAGATAAAAGTTCATACCACAGACAGGGCAGACAAACGGCTTCCTTACAGAGTGGCTCCGTAGGTGAAGGATTAAAGGGCTCTGGAAGGTGAACCGCTTCCGACAGTGGACACATTTGTACGGTTTAACTCCTCCTTGGTGTTTCTTGGCCTTTTGGCACAGATGACTTCGAGCTCTGAACTGTTTCCTACAGGTCTTGTGTGGTTTTTCAGCTGCGGTGGGATCGTCCTTGTCACCGGAACAAAGTGCGAATCCTTCTCTCGTCTCAACTGCGACCTCAGGAGCTTCCCGTTCGGTCTCAGATACGCTCTGATCTCGAGCAGAGTCCCTTTCACTGTCATCTTCGGGTTGGTTTCTATCAGTGACATCACTGGCACTTATGAGCTGGTCATGGCTGCACTCAGATACATGAGAGAGGACAGCTGCGGATGATTCCTAAACAGGACAGAGTAAAATAAAGTAATTAAAAAATAAGTAGGCCCACGGAAAAAAAAAAAAGACTAAAAGTAAAGCCAGAGCATCTGGTCCCAGTCTGCAGCCAGGGGGCGCCCTGGTGACCGGCTGCACTTCATAAAGCCCTGAACTACAGGTTCATCACTGTGTTTGGTCCCCTGGAAACATTTCTGTTGTCGTTTTCCTAATTTGCACGTTGAGTTTTCTCAGCCACCGTAACATTTACACTCGTATGAAATAATGGACTTTGGTTGAAAACAAACACAACTGTATTGAATAGTTAGGATTTCTTATTACTGAACATTTTAGTGAGAGTGAGCAGGAACAGGGTTTGTTGCATATGTTTAAAGTCAAATCCAGGTACCATGTTATAGTACTCAGTGAGTAGTACTGAGTAATATCTGAGCTTCAGTGCTGCATCACATCATAAAGTCTCTTCTCTGCACAGGACACGTCTCTCTCGAGTTAGCACAACAGAGAAGTTAGCACAACACAGGGTCGTTTAGCTAAGGGCTAGCTAGCATGCATCATTGAGGGGCAAATACATTGAGCTCACCTGATTCATGATGGATTAACAACCAGCACGTGCGCTGCGACTCACTTCCACGAGTCCCTGCATGTCCCCAGTGTGAGTGGGTGCAGGACACAGACTGCGTGGACGGGTTGTTTGTGTCTGAGGAAGCTGTGGAGGCTGTTAGCATGAGGAGCTAACCCAGGGAGAGCCAGGCGAGTGGCAGGGTTGCCAGGTTGGAGGAGAAAAATAAGGAAACCAAGCTGACACCTGCTCAGATATTTTAACATGATTTTTAAATCTGGATGGAGAGTTTACTGTTTTTTAGAAGATTACACGTGGATCTGTCATTAATTTACACAACTACTAAATGTTTTTTTAACCTTAAAAACTGAAATCCTCATGTCTGATTTCATGCAAAGATATTTGAATAATAATTAAAGGGAATATTCATGTTATTAATTATCGATGTAGATAAACTTATCACATTAATGTATAGTAACAATTAACTAGATTTGTTTATATGGCTAATCTTCCACTAAAATTTTGATAAATTGTAAAGTTTTATTTGCACATCACTGTTCCTATTACTATCACTGCTGCGATTATTATGATTGCAAAATAATTATAAGTGTGATAACATTAGCTAATGACGCTAAATTAGTATAAATATGAGTTTTTGTCAATTTCATTTTATCCTGGAAAACAGATGCCAACATCTTTGTAAAAATTGATCTAACTTTCATAAACAAAACTACAAGCTGATGCACTATGTAGTTTGCACTCGTAGATCCTTGTTATTAAAGCTACATCCACACTGATACAAGACTTTCTTCCTCCTGCTTTTTTTTTCATTCATGGAATGTGTGTAAGTTTAAAACTGCTTTAGATAACACTTTTAAACTGTTGTACCTTTCCTACCCTACAGCAGGAAACTGCAGTTAGATACCTCAGTTCACTCACTCACCTTGATATTTTCATGTAAAATACAACTACTGTGGAAAATGACTCATGCTAAAAAGAGACTTCTTCGAATAAGCCCGGATCTAGCGTCACAATGGGAGTTGAATGGACATTATCTGTATTAACGATGTAGACAAAGGTTAACATGAGAATCTGGGGTCAAACAGCAGATTAGACAAGATAATGGGTGAAAATCACAGATGTGATGGGGATGAATTCTGCATTAAATCACTCTGTAGAAATATGTTTTCACTTTAAAATTGTAGTATTGTAATGTAGCTCTACTGAAAGCACTTTGGTTCCAAACTGAAACACATTAACCTTTTAATTTTGCACAGAGGTCGATTGTCTTCAAGGGACAAGTCCTGAGTGGAGGGACGACCATCTCCCTATTTTTTATCTAGAGCCAAAGTGATGTTAGCATTTGTGGTTAACAGTAAAATACACAAGACAGGTAATTGTTGGGTGGCTTTCCCTCATTTGACATTGCTTTAGATATTAATGGTCCCTTTGACCCTTTGTTGGTTGATCAGTGTCAAAACTCACTAAACGTGTGGTTTAATAATTATGAAACAAGACGTGGATCATTAAGAAGTCAAAGGCGGTGAATGCTTGCTGATGACTTAGTTCAGTGTGTCATGTTGTGCTTTTAATATCAACTCTCAAAGGATGATCTCTACGTGGATTGCAGTAGTTAATCCTCATATTTCAGGATGTGAGGAAACAATATTTCAAATGTGGCAAAAATTAACAGATGCATTTCTGAAAACATGGATTTTAAAATAAAGGATATTGTGCATAATTTTTTTTAACATCAAATATTGATATTTGGCATGCAGGATACAAAGGCACTGAAATTGTACAGATGGGCTACTAGTGTTATGCATAAAAACATGAATACTGGAAAGACAACACAGAAAGCTTCCAAATTGTTTTTCACACAGACTGTACATTTGCTAGGAACAGTAACTGTTTACACTGTAGGTGGGAGGAATGGAAGGAATTTTTACTGCAATGTTTTCAAACACATAAATGGATAGAGCATCTGTTAGATGTCCAGTCTGGCCTGTTGCTTGGGTCTGCCGAGCTGTCGGGTCGGCCCGATGCGTTTTCCAGCATGTGTGCGCTGATGCTGCCGCAGACCCTGTCGGTAAATGAAGCTCTTCCCACATTCTCCGCACTCGTAGGGTCTCTCTCCGGTGTGAAGCCTGTGGTGAACCTTCAGCTCCTCAGCTCGAGAGTAGCCCTTCCCACACACGCTACAAATGAAGGGCCTGTCCTTAATGTGGGTCTGGTAGTGTGCTGTCAGGTAAGAGTTTATCCGGAACGTCTTCCCGCAAATGGAACACGCGAACGGCCTTTCCTCGGAGTGCTGCATCTCATGCAGCTTGAGAGAAGAAGCCGTGTGGAAGCCTCTGCCGCACTGAGAGCAGAGAAACGGTCTCTCCCCGGTGTGGATGCGCTGGTGGATTTGAATGTAGCTCTCATTGATGAACCTCTTGCCACAGTCAGGACACGAGTAGGGCTTCTCCTTGATGTGCGATTTCATGTGTTCTTCCAGCTTTTCTTTTTCGTTGAACTGAACACCACAGCGGCGGCAGAAGAGAAGCTGCGATGTGCTGTGCTCAACAGTGTCCGACTCAGCAGCTGTCGGTGTGTGTGCGGTAATGTGGTGAGCTTGTAAAGCAGACTGACTCTCAAAGTCTTTCCCACAGTCCAGGCAATGGAGGGACGATCTGATCCTGGACTCCCCCGGCAGAGACTTCAAGTATTCAGAGAGTTCTGACGCGATGGGATTCACCTCATCGTCAAAGTCCATGACGCCTTTACTCCCTTCAGAGAGACGAGGTGGAGACAAAGTGTGTTTTAATATTTGTCCTCTTCAGGAATAACAACATTTGCATTAATTATGATTACCTTTGTTTAGCTATGCTATAGTTAAGTTTTACTTTAACTTATATATAGTTTCAAATGATAGGGGTTGACCCAGTATAGTCATTCATAACATTAGCATTCAATCTCTGGTATTATCTTTATCACTTTATTGATGTGTTGATTGAATGCTATTATTAGCGACAGTCAGTTTTTATCATGTTTTATAGATAGCGTATGAATGGTCTCTAGAAAAATCACTTCTGTGTGCATGAATGCAACTTTTCCTGTAAACCACTCTGAGTGGTCAATAGGACTGGAAAAGCACGATATAAATACAATCCATCCATTAACCACCACACAGTGGTGTAACTTCTTGTCCATCCTATTTTTCCAAGAAATGTTCATCTGTTTAATTTTACCTAAAATAATGGATTAGTGTCTGGTATAAGGTTTGGTTGTACCCGTTTGACCCTGTACGCCAAACTCTTGGTGAAATGGTTTAAGTATTATCCAGTCATTCTTTAACAGATCTCACCTAAGTGGACTTTGTAGTGTGTTTTGAGATTTCCCTTCTGGTTAAAGCCCCGGCCACAGATGGAGCAGCTATACGGTTTCTCTCCTGTGTGCACCAGCTCGTGTCTCTCCAGTTTGTAGGCGTGAGGAAATTCTTTGCCACACACGGAGCAGTGGTACTCGATCTTTTCTTTGGGCGTCTTCAGGAGCTCCGGTGGTATTTCCACTGGCACGCGAACCATCTTTCTGCCGGGGTTCTTCTTCCCTAAGTGGGCGAAACAATCATGTGAAATTAGAAGGTTAGGCTGCAAATGCAAAGATTCAAAAATGACTTTGCAGACTAATTCAAACCCAATCCCAGAAAGTGAAAGTCTGATCCATATTCCATCTATTAACATGGAGGAGTCAGTACCTATTCCAAAGCCAACCACAAGGGTGCGATCAATACATAAGAGTCAGGCCACAAAAATAATAACTGCTGCAATTTAACACCTGCAGGCAGCGAGTGTTACTGCCTGTGTTAACATTTTACTTGCTCTTACCAGAGGAAACACCAGTTTTTCCACCTCCTTCAGCAGAGTGTTTATCTTTCCTTCTTCTGTAAGGCCGCTTTGCTGTCAAACAGAAAACATTTTTAAAACCTCTAATGAACACTGGTTGGGTTTCAGGAGCCATTTTGGAATGTGTAAAAAAAAAAAAAATATATATATATATACATATTTTGTTGTACCTGTGGCACGACGGACAGTTTTGGGGCTTAACTCTTCTGATTCCACTCCGGTGGGGAAATTGATCTTTCTTCGGGTACGCCTTGATACTATAATTAAAAACAAAAATTATTATAACAAACACTCTCAGTTAAACAAACACAGAATCTCCATACACATCCAGAGGAACACTCACTTCCAGGCTCTGCCTCCAAATCTTCAGACAACAGGGGTGTTTCTGAAATCTTTCGTCTGCCTCTTCTCTTTACTTGGTGACATAAAAAGAGCAGCAGAAGATATTTCAGAATGGAAAGCAACACAGTTTATGATTATGTTGAACTCTGAGTAAAGTCATCTTGAACCTGCACAGTGAAGGTGCTCAGCCCACTCACCAGGATTTGCAGGAACCGGTTTATCCGAGACGCCCCGTGATTTTATTTCTGAAACCTTTTTCTTTCTTCTGTGTCTCTTTCCTGCAAACATCATGTGGCAAAAATATCACATCAGAACTGAAACAACTATTGTACACAACCTGGACAGTTTTTATTATTCCTTCTGGTTTATGTTTACCACGGTAAAAAGGGGAAACGGTTGCCATCTTTACTACTCTCTCTTTTTCCTCCCCTTCCTCCCTTTCTTCATCGTCTCCCACAGACACAACTTCCATGATGAGCGTTGGACTACTGTTGTCTCTCTGGTTTTGGCTTTGCAGCTGAGACTCGGACAAGCTGACACCCTGTGATCATAATCATTAAAAATCATCAGAATTATACGGCCTCCCTGAGTAACAGCACTTGAGCACTGCAAACACAGCAGATATTTACATTTCTATGACGGATAGCTCCACTGAAAATGCAACTGAGAAAGGATAAATATTAATCCTTTTAGTTAATCTAACCGTCACTGAGACTGAAGACTGGCTGTACAAAGTACATTTTGGTATAGTCAGGTCTAGACGTCCCCGTTGACAAACGAGAAGCTGCATAGCAAAATTCACTTTTTTGTTTTTTTACTGACTCTATTTATTCATTTTTATTGTGGTACCAATAAATTATCTTTAAAAAAAATTACCTTGCTCTGCTGAGGACTTTCTGTGCAATCAGAGCGTCGGTCAGGACCTGCAAAAATCAAAATGATTGGCTCAGGTTCAAATCTGCCTACAAGGTTGAAGAATAAAGTCAACGTAGACCACATGCATAAATATAAATAAATGTGTATGAATAACTTACTGGCATCCCATTCAACCACTTCTCCATCAGAGTTGATTAAACCTCCGATTTCGTCATCTTGCTCCTCCTCTTCCCCCGCCTGCAAACGAACAGTCAGGTGGAGGGTTTGTCCTTCCAAGTTTGCAGATGCTCTTTTGAGTCCATGTGATACTAGGGGCTTATGTTCAGGTGAATCCTAAATACAGAACACAAAGAGACACGGCAATTCATTTAAATGATCCTTTAGGCGTATTCACTTAACAAGTCAATCAGACAGGAAGTGGAGACACCTGACATCTTAATTGTTTAGGATCCAAAGTGAAAAAAGCTTTTTTATTTGATACTAATTTAAAAAAGCCTTTTAAACAGAAAGTAGTCCAAAATCTAAAGTCTATCTTACTGTTTCTGTTATGCTTGCTAGTGCAAGCATTATAAATTGGATTAAACAAACTCTCTTAACTTCACAAACCACTAGTGTGAGGCTGATGAATGCCACCAGTTCATAAGGAGAAGCATGTCTGTGAGATTTGATCATTAGCCTGATCAATGCCACTAAAACTGCCACAGGGAAATCCTACTGACGGGCAGAAACAAGTGTTTCGCAACGCAAAGCCTCTTATCAGTGGACAAACACATTTAGCTATGTCAAAGGTGGCTGTACAGCTGAGGACCACTTTGTCACTTATAAAATATATTATTACAAAAAATAAATAGTTTGAAAATTAGTTTGCGGCTACTGATTTGTACTCAGTTAAACACGTTATATTTTACGTGACTGAAAGTTGTTTCCAAAATCAGTGAAGGATACAGAGGACATAGACATACACAAGATAGAATTAGCTAAAGAAAAAAACTAAAACTAAAAGAAAGAAGACTCCAATCACCAAAGACTAAAAACAGAAGGATGTCTTATAGTGGTCACATAGATGTAGGACATAGGTCACAGGGGATGGGCAGCAGTTTCTAAAACACTTCCCAGGAGGTGAAACAAGGCAAAGCTAATAAATACCAACAATTAACAGTGGATGAAAAAAAATCCTATTTACTGCTTAATCCAGGTTTGAGATTCATGGCAGTGACAGAAGGGTTCATGTAAGGAGACAAACAGGAGAGACGATTAGTGTTTCTAAGAATATTCAGACTGGGGTGCTTTGAATGCATATGCGAAAAACACTCTGACTTGCATGTCTGCAGAGAAGGAATCATATTCCAGCGGGATGTTAAATACAAATACACCTCCAAGCAGTGTGAGAACTACTTGAACACCAAAGAACATCAATGAGTCCTGAGCAACGTGGTCTTATCCTCCACAGTCACCTGACCTCAATCACACTGAACATTTATGGTGACACTTGAAGGCAACTACTAGATGAGTACAAAACACACAAGAGAAATGAGATTATGAATAATATTTGCATGTTGTTAATATATATATATATATATAGGTAAATCTGTACATACTGTTTGGCAAAGTGCTGGTGTTTTGGTCTCATGTAGTTCTGCCTCTGTTGGCAAAGATGTGCTTTGTTTTACGTCAACGTTCTGATCTGGGACATTACAGCCGTCCTCAGCATGTGTCCCCTGGCGGGAGCTCATGGTCCTTTTGTGACTGAGGGTCGTCTCACGGACCGGGAAGGAGAAAGGTTTCTCTCCTGTGTTACAACCCTCATCCGCTGTCTCGTGTTCCGGCACCTTCCAGTAAACACAGGAAATCTCAGGTTTGGCATCAGAGTCAATGAGTATGTGTCTTTTCCGCCCGCATCTGGTAGAGGAGCTCTGGTCATAGAGAGCAGGGCCGCTGGACTCCTCTGAGCATTTCTCCACTGAATTAACTCTCTGCTGTCTCTTGGATGAACTGGAGCTGTCTTTCCCACATGATTTGAGTTGGGGATGACAAGCGGGTGCAGAAGTTTCCTCTTTGTCTGCCCCTGAACAGTAGCTCTCATCTGCATTAAACATAAAGCAAAACAAAAAGTGACAAATGATGACTGAGTAACTGTGTGTATGTCGTCTAATGAGGTGATATTGAAGATTTTCCACTCACGATTATCACTCACGGTCCAGCCGTCCTCTTCCTCTTTGATGATGACATGAATCTCTGGTGTCTCACAATCATAGTCAGGACTTGCTTGTGCTTTTTTCGGATCAGGATGTGGCAAGTTCGGCTCGTCATAATTTTCACTTAGACTCAGCGGATCTTGGAGTTCAGGATCCTATGAAGACATTTAAGACACCGACGCTCACACTCAGTAATCGGAGCATACAGACGACGGGGCAAAACACTGCATGGTGCAAACATGTGAGGCACATCGCATCTTTACAACTCTGGTGTGTTCAATAAACTGTTTCAAGAATACATGACCCACATTGCCAGTCCTGTGGTCTCACACTAAAAGTCTGTTTTAACGTTGTTAATGTCAATCTGCTCCAGGTCTGATGGTGATGACACGTCTCACACCATCCTCTGCTTTTTTTTGGGACCTGCTGCACCTTGCTGGCCAGTAATGAATTCCTACTTGTTCTCATATACAGTGTATTACTGTGGCACTACTAATGCAACTTAATAAAACATTCTCCCTTCATTAATGCATGTATCTTATATTTACTATTCAAGGCTAATACCTGTGCATCTCAAAGTTAATATTTGCTGTATTGACACATGCATGGCAGCAATAACATGCCAGAGGGCTGCAGCCTTCAATGAACCAAGTTTAATGTCATTTTGCAGCTCACGTTGTTCTCGACAGCCTGTGTTTGACATGTTCTTAACATTTAGCAGCTAAACCAAGTTTGTCCTCCTCAGCGAGGAGCAGAGAACGAACTGATTGCATCGCTAGTTAAGTTTCAGAACGAACGCCATCGGCTAACTAGCTAGCTGTCGAGCTATTCACTCAATCGCATTCGGAGCTAGTGCTAAATGCAGGTGCTAGCGGGGGTTCGGGGACGTGTAGAGCGGCGTTAGGCCGGAGGACCGACGGCTAACAGGCTACTTCTTTATAACCATCTGCGGGTAAATGATCCAGAATCCAGACAGCGACGAGCGGCTCACATTAGCCCGAGCAGCTGCAACGTTACCTCGAACATAGTGCGACGTGACCGCCGGGTGTGATGGCTGTCATAAGAAGAGCAGGACGGACAGACAGGGAGGAAGAGTTGTGGACGGATCAGCTGTCATGAACTATAGCTCCTGTCTGTCTGTCTGTCTGTCTGTCTGTGTCTCTGTCTGTCTGTGTCTCTGTCTGTCTNTCTGTCTGTCTGTGTCTCTGTCTGTCTGTGTCTCTGTCTGTCTGTGTCTCTGTCTGTCTGTGTCTCTGTCTGTGGTCTTTTAGCTAAACTATGATGCGACACCACTTCTTCTTCTGCTCATCGTTTTTTTTTTTGTGGCTACCAGCTGGAGGGCTCACATCGCCCCCTGCTGGACAGCACAGGGAAACAGATAGATATGCATATAGTGTACGTACTGTATGTATGTACTGTATGTACATTATGTACAGTATGTATAGTATGCATGTATATACAGTGTGTATGGGTGGATGTATAGATAGTATGTACATAAACACATACACTGTGATATAAAATAAGAATTATAACATGTGACTGTTGTGTACAGGCCGGTGGGTTGTATAAAGATGTGTTCGTGTAGAAAAATAGAATGAACAACATATGTGCATATACAAGACGATCATTCACTGAAGATGTCACCATTATAACAGACAGGATCAGAGACAGGATGAGAGACAGGATGAGGGACAGGATCAGAGACAGGATCAGGGACAGGATCAGAGACAGGATGAGACAGGATCAGAGACAGGATCAGAGGCAAGTTTAAGAGTCAGGATCAGAGTCAGGATCAGGGACAGGATCAGAGACAGGTTTAAGAGACAGGTTTCAGAGCCAGGATCAGTGATCGGATCAGTAACAGTATCAGAGACATGATTAGAGACAGGATCAGGGACAGGATCAGGGACAGGACGTGGTCTCGTGCTCTGAACTTTGAACTGGAGCAGCTGTCAAAGGCCACATGTATGAAATCAGCTGTGTCTGCATCACTGAGGAGGAGACAGAAGAGGAGGAGACAGACAGACAGACAGACAACACTGGATCAGGAAACACTGGACTCAAACCCTCCTCCTCTGACCCACATGTCTCCTGCAGGGACCCTCACGTGACCAGAACTGGTGAGCGACATCAGGTGTGTGCGCGTGAGGCAGCAGCAGCAGCAGCGGAGCCATGGAGACGGAAGCAGGATGTTTACATGCTCAATGTTAAGTTTCATTTAAATTTGGATTTAGTCGCTGGTCCACCACACAGAGATGCTCCCCCGCTGCTGGTCACCTGCTCCGACACGCTCCTGAGGAGAGGTGAGACTCAACCGCGTCGCTTTAGCTTCTTTTTTTTTTATTAACTTAGCGAAGGTAACCTAGCTGTCGCTGTTAGCTTTCACCCGGTTACTGGTTAACCAGCACTATCCGTCTCAACCCCAACCATGGTTCACTCCCTGCGGCGACTGTCAGTCTTTGCTTCTGGGTTTTTAGTGGCAGAGTCGTGAGGTAACGTGTAAACACTGAAGTAGCTTGTAGCTAACAGCTAGCTAGCCGGTCGCAGCTAACAGTGATGAGTTCACATTCCGCCGGTTCTCCCAGTAAAACACATGTCAGTGATTAAACCAGCGGGAGACTAGTTGTTTTACATCCGGTTTATAGTTTGGTACTGACCGGTTTATTATTCGCTGTGTGTTGTGTGTGTGTGTGTTTGTGTGCGTTAGCTTCTTGGTTAATGCTATCACGACACGCCTTCCTCAATTCAAAACACTGCAGCCGATGTTAAACAATGTTGATGCTGAGATTCTCGGAACTGCGTCCACGTGAAATCATGTGATGACACAAACTATTCGTAATGGTGGACTAAGTCGTTTATTCCTCACAGTGCGAGCAGCAGATCGTCAAAGCCTCACATTCATAATCCCACCGAATTAAAGTACCAGCTGAAGTAAACGACCAGCAGTGCGCTGTTCACCTCCTCAGGCCTGACCTCAGTTATCTGAGCAGGACAATGTCCAATGTGCGTCATCCTCCACTTTATACATAATGTTCACATTATCAGAGTGTGACAAAAACATTTTTACAGATGTGATGTAGCTCAGTCGTGTGTTTTACCTCGTCACACTTGCACAGTGCTTAAGCAATTCTATTGATTTATGTTAGTGCTTTGTTATTTTGCTATTTGGAGGTTATGTTGTGATAATCATTGATATCGTTTGATTGCCCAGCACTATTGTACACGGTTTAAAAAATATCCAATTGCATTTCATATGTTCTATGCGCTGTTACTTTTTTCATGAACAATACGAGTAGATATAGATAAACTGTATTTGTGGCAGGTGCAAAAGTCTGGAGGCCCTGTAAATGAGTACTTAGAGCGTTATGGTGAAATGTTTTCAGAGAGCGTGTCTTAATAAGTCTTCCTTTTTGTCCTTTTGTTACCTTGTTTCTTCTCTTTCTATGTTTTTCAGATTGAGACTCATCAGACAACAGACTGAGCATCAATGGACGACCCCCCTACCTCATCTGATTCTCCTCAGTCTAAGTCTTCCACCACCAGCAATATCTCAGAACATGAATTCTCATGTCACTGTTGCTACGACATCTTAGTGAATCCCACTACCTTGACCTGCGGCCACAACTTCTGCCGCCACTGTCTGGCTCTGTGGTGGGAATCCGCACACAAGAATGAGTGTCCAGAATGCCGGGAGAAGTGGGAAGGCTTTCCGAAAGTCAACATAATGCTACGGTATGATTGTCACTGTCACACCGAGTCAAGTCACAGTTGAACAACCCTGCAGAGTGATCTTAATTTGAAATTGGATACAGGAATACCAGCGGAGTACAGACTTAACCGCATGTTAAGATTTGTAGTTGGGCCACTCAAGAAAAGATTTGAGGAGGAGAAACTTTATCAGAACTTCTACAAACTGAGGACAGAACAGTTTGTAGAAGTTCGCTTTAACCTGCATCAACTATACCTACGCTACCAACTCCGTTTGTTATTTTTTTATTATATATATTTATTGTGATTCCATCTCTAATTCCATGTTTTTGCATAATCCTCCTCTTCTTAGGGATGCAACGGACAAACTGTTCAGTGACGTCGTTCAGCAGAGGAGAGCTACCATCCAGGCAAACCCCCAAATCTCCCGGAGCCTGTTGGCCTTCCAGAGGTAGTACAGTATACTAACGTGATACAAGCTGTTTTGGTGTAAACCCAGGATACATTAGAAATCCACCCCTTCAGAATAGCCCTTCCATAACTTTATCAAGCTCAAGAGGGGCAGTTTAAAAACAAGAAGGATCAAAATTGATCATATATTTTTTGTAAGAGAAGGTTAAACATCCAGATGTGTTGAATAACCCTTTGACTATGATGACGGTATGGATGTGAACTGACCTGGTGTCTCTGCTAATTTGTGTTAGATCCCAAAACAAACTCTCATTAAATATCTGTCTGTTTTAAGATATGGCGACAACTTGGGTAGATCCCGGACAAACCAGCACAAAGGAGCAGGCTTCTTCTTCTCTGGTGTCTTAACTGCGCTCACATGTGTGGCTGTAAGTATCCATCAGCACCAAAAACATCATGTAATTACCTTTGTTTGTAAAATGAGGTACTCGGTATAAATGCCATGGTCCCGAGCTGCGATACTGAGCTTTTTTTACTGCAACGCTGCTTTTAACTACCCGTGAAAAAAGAGCCACAAATACCCATAATGTTAAAGAGACAACATTTGGTGAATAATTAATTAAATAAGTTGCTATTCCTGGATTTACAGATTCTCGTTATCAGGATCCAGTATATGTGACTTTAAGATTTTGCCAAATGTACTTGTGGAGTGAGTTATCATAAACTCAAACTATTATTATAACTATACGTTTTTGCTTTTTCAATATATCCAAATTGATTTCAACAGTATCTAATATTTCAAAGTTCCCACAGCAGTGGACGAAGGGGTTGGTCGTTCATTTGATGTAGACAGTACATGTTTATTTAGTCCATGTGGCACTTGGGAGCAACGTCAATGTGTGTTTTGCCACATGGCAGTACATTTGTGCATTGTGTAATCATGTGACAGCACGACCCCAGTTCTTTGATGAACATTGTGATTGAATCAGGTTGTTTTAGGAAAAACTGAGAGGAGGCCTGAGCCTGTGTGTAAAACATCTGTTGATGTCGAGGCTTTGTGTTTTACGTGTCAAGCTAAATAAGATTTAAGAGCAGATGTGTGAGTAAAGTGTAAATGTTCAGTCATACTTCAATAAACCAGGTGCTGCTGTAGGTTTAAATGTGCTAAATGTAATTACATGCTATTGGCACATAGCTAAGGTTTTTCAATAACAGCAGTTTATATCACAGTATAGAAAAAGCATATTAAGTGGACTTCTCCCAACCATCAACAGCTTTGTGAACCAAGTCTTTTCTTTGTGAACGAGGTATCACTGGACCTTGTCTATTAAACTCTGTGTTTTTCTGTGTCAGTTGATGGTGATGGTGTATCACTGGAGCAGTAGTGTGGTGGAGCAGCACAACATACTGATCAGTAAACCGGTGTCTCACTGGACGTCAGAGGAAGTGGTATCCTGGCTGGAACATCTGGGGCCCTGGGCGCAGCTTTACAGAGATCCCTTCCTACAGGAAAGCGTCAATGGAAGGTAAAACCCGTGAAACTCAATCAGTGAAGATAAACAGATAAACTTCAAGCTCATTTTTTTTTAATTTGCAGTTTTTCAGTGTGAGGATTTGTTGTTGTTAGAAAAGATGTTGTTAGTTGTTGCAACATTTTAATTTAAATCATCTTTCACTATTTTCAAAAATGTTATTTACAAAAATTATAGATTAATCAAATGCTGATTACTCAATAATAATTAGCATGAAAATTACAAAGTTCTTTCTCTTTCTAGACGATGCAAAGTAAAATATGGAAGTTTGAATTTTATGCTGATCCAATGTGGTGTTGATTTCTTTGCTTCAGGCTGCTGTTGATGCTCGATGATGAAGATTTGCTAAAGCCGCCTTACAGCATCGAGAATCAGGCTCACCGTCGGGCTATTTTGGCCGAACTGGACAGAGTCAAAGCTCTGGGAGTCAAACCTCCTCAGAACCTCTGGGAATACAAAGTAAGTTCGGACAAAATCTTTGAGCAGTATTCCATCATGATTAGATTCTCTGGCAAGTGCCTCCAGCCCTGATATCGTGACAAATGTGTTATTTAAAAAAAAATCCCAGATTGTAATCTGTTAGTCTTGAATCAGAATGTTTGTGATTTCTCTTTCACTTTCTTCAGGCGGCTAACACTGGGAAGTCCCTGTTCCTGCTGTACGCTCTGAAGAGCTCGCCTCGTCTCACACTCTTCTACTTGTATCTATTCGACTACACGGAAACCTTCCTGCCCTTCCTGCACACCTGCTGTCCGGCCGTCACACTCGTCGACCAATCACTGGAGAGCAGCTTCTACAAGACACAGGTGAGTCATTGAATAAGCAAACGTCGTCTCTGAGAACTTACTTTAAGTCCAACTACTGCTACATTTACACGCACACTGTATGTAAAAGAATCTCATACATTTGTCGATGATGTTCTTTGTCTTTGTCAGCTGGAGCCCAACTGGCAACAGTGGGCGGAGTTTCTGGTGAAGTACCTCCTGCTTCCATACCAGCTCATAGCTGAGTTTGCTTGGGACTGGTTGGCCGTCCACTACTGGACATCTCGCTTCATCATCGTGAACGCCACGCTCCTGTCTGTGCTGGAAGCCTGTGCCCTGTGGAGACTCTGCATGACAGCCAGGATCAGGTACACGCAGTGGGAGGGCTGGGTGTTCATGAATTTTTCTTTCTTGTCAAAACCTGACACCTAAAATCACCCACCATGCCGCCCTGTGATGACGACTACATGTGATGCTATGGCTACATGTTGCTGTGAAGCAGTGTTTCTGTGTGTGGGTCCCCATTGTGTTTGTTTTCTTGCACGTGCATGCAATTTACTTCTCAAGCTGCTCTGGTGATTGGCTGTTGGTGGCGATAATACTCTCAGCTGACCATCGTGACATTTCACCTTGTTTTCATAGCATCAAATAACTAATTCAACTGAACTCCTGAGGGCTGCTTTAAACAATCAGTCGTTACTCGTTTAACTCAGATCTTCCTCTCTCTTTAGGTTTCTGCCACAGATGATGTGGAATCACACATGGACGATGTTATCTCAGGGGTTTGTCTTTGCCCTCCTGTGGCCTTTAGTCCCTCAGTTTGTGTGCAACTGCTTCTTCTACTGGGCGCTGTACTTCAGTCCCATCGTCAACATAGACCTGGTGGTGCAGCAGCTGATGCACCCAGAAACACAGGTGCCATAACAAAGCTGCATGAATTCAGCGCCCTGTCAGTGCCACACAGCTCAAAGCAATTAAAGTGAATAGCCTGTTGCTGAAAAGTGTTTATTTTCAGCGTTGAAGTCACAAGACAGACATTGCTTGCGGTCGGAAAGGACGTTTTCTCGCTTCCTGTCTCATCTCTGCTGGATGGTTGCCTTGTGGAACAAGAGAGGCTTTGAGCCACTGTGGGGAAAGCAAAACCAACCCAGTAAGAAACTGTGAAATATCTGCGATCTTATTGATTTGGAGAGACGACGGCAGTGGACTCATTCACAAACCACATTGCCTGAATGTTTCAGGGGGCATTTATGCAAACGATGAGTTCGAGCATTGGTGGCAATGAAGACTGGTGTAGTGACTCTCCTGTAGAGTCACTTAGGCAGCAGGGAATGTTCTCTGCGCATAGTTTTTACAGAGAAAATGATATTATGTCCAAGTTTGTCCTTTTGGGTGATGTTATTGCTAAAATCATAAATTTACATTGAATTGGTGTCTGTTAGATGAAGCTACGGCAAGAACTGCGTGCTCCCCACCACCTACTGCTCAAAACTGAACTGACTGATATACGCCCGGGGCTCCATTAAAATAACGTACATATCACCTAGTGGTCAAAATAAAACATTACACAATGGCTCCTACAACTGGCCCCATAAGGAGTTGACAGCTCTGTAGCACTGTAGTCCAGAAAAACCTGAGCTTTTTTTTTTATTCCTTTACAGACCTGCAAACTGTCAGTGGAACAAAACAAGTATAAATACATTTTTGTTTAAATTTTAATCTAATCCACCGTCACTGAAATGAACACACGCTGCTTTATAACAGTCTGTGAGTATTATTCTGTATTATGAGTCATTCTGCAGATTTTTTAGTAACTCTTTGAGGGTTGTTGGCCGCGACTGCGATCCTGGTGCTACAGAGCTGTCTGAAAATTCACACCACAATATTCAGTAACATGACTATGAAGCTTTCCAAGTGACTTGTTGAGGTTTGTGGTTCCGTCCCAGCCCATCAGGGGCCTCAAGCTTTACTGTCATCTCAAAAGAAAGGCAGTCAGGACGTTTAGAAGAAGTATATTTCAGAAGTTCCTTTTCATAAGGTTTGAGGCACTTAGATTTAAAATAAAATGTATGATCTTAAAAAAATTTTTCGAGATGCTAGTTCAGATCTTTTCAGTTTTTATGACTTTTTAAGGAGACACACTTTGAGGCAGATTTTATTTGCTTGTACTGCTGACAAAGATTGAGTTGCACTTTTTTTTTTTTTTTTTTAATCATTCAGAAGAGTTATGTTTGCAGTATACAATTCCATGTGGTGGGGGGAGGGGTAGAACTATTCAAAGACATGTTATTTTTTTTACCTGTTCATTTGCACTTAAAGGTTCTACACTGTGATTTTGTTCTTAAATGTTCTCTGATGACAAAGGAAAAATAAAGTCTTAAATGTTATCCTGTTGGATTTTTTTCTCATTATGTAGTAATTGCTGGAGAAATTGAAGTCTATCAGTTGTCTTTTTAATTTATGTAAATTCTTATAGCATTTTTCTATAAAAAATTCAATTTTATTTGTACGACTCCAAATCATAATATACATTATGTCAAGGCACGTTAGATAAGAGAAAATTCATATTTTGTATAAAAATAAATATGTATAATGTATACAATATACCTTGTTTGTAATTGAGCCTTTATCTATTTAACTTTATACGAGTGCAGTAACATTTGAGGATCATATTTTTATTTCACGGTTTGTAACCAGGTATCTTAATTAAATTAAATTTACAATTGTAAATAAAGTTTAATTGATTGAAGCTCTATGAAAGACCGCCCTCTAGCGTTGGACGGTCGTCATGGCAGCAGAGGTAACGACGTTAGAGGCTGTCTGTAAAAATCAAGTAGCACCGGAAACGGAAAAAAAAAACATTTCCAAGACATTTCCAGGCCAAATCTAAATATGATGATTATTATGAACGTGTGTTTAATCTCTTTAGCGTCAACACGAGTCACAGTGAGTTTATGTTTTTTTTTTTTCAGATTACGTAGAAACTGTCGATGTAAAATGCACCGTGCCGTTTGAACGGACAACATTTTTGCGGACGGGCCCTTCGGCGTGGTTGTTGCGGAAGTGAGAAGTCGACGTGGGGACGAAAGGTTGGTCCGCGTTCGAGACCCGAGACCCAGCAGCGGCGCGTCCAATCCGGGTCAGCGGTGTGTCCCGTGGAATCGGTCCGCCTGCCTCCGCCCTCCTCCCCCTCGGCGATGGACGCGCTGAGCCGGGCCGTATAAATGGGACCGGGAGCCGACGACGGGCTGTAATGCTGCGCCGGGTGCGGCAGTCTCTCCGGCAGGTGCTGTTCCTGATGGCCCGGAGACCGGATCTCCTCTGCGGGGCTATCGTGCTCAGCGTCCTGCTCGTCCTGGCTCTCAAGCTCACGTGCAGGTAGTGGCGCGACGGGGTTTGTTTTTGCCGAACGGACCGTGTTGGTGTGAATGAGCTGCTGGTTACCACGAGCTGGTGGGAAAAGTCCCGGCTCTGGTGTTGGATAAGAGGATTCACTGATGATTACCTCCCCGAGGACATATGGTGGAGTCCCGTAGAGGGACACTGCACTGTGACTGTGGGGCTCTGACAGTAAATGACCCAGAACACAGTTTAACCAGCAGCTCAGATCCACCACCACCACCATCATCATCAGGTTCGACAAATTACAATGTACAGTGCAGGAGGAGGCAGGAGATCCAGTGGTTTTATGATGCTAATTAAATGATTCGATAATTAAAAGTCAACAAATCAACAATTTATATAGTTTACTACAAAACAAACACAAAACAAACAGCAACACTTCTGTTATGTGGGGTTATTCACAGGCCTGGTCAATAGTTAGGAACAAACTGAATCTCCAAAAACAACAATACACGAAGAAGAGCAGCTGTTGACTTGTCTTTTGTAATGCAACATGTAATATGTCAGATTAGTGTTGTTGATATCCATGTATATTGTAATCAAGTGTGTTTTTGACTGTAGACAAATGTGTATTGTCTCAGAATATATATTGTCATATCGATTTTCTCATTTAGACTGAAATCTATTTTGTCTGTCTGCAGCCGTGCTAAGAATGTGGTGGCAGCAGCCCGGCCTCCGGTGCGGTTCTTCTCTGCCGAGGCCCCGATAGTCGACCTCTACTTGGGTCAGCTGGACCAGGTGAGACTCTCGATACTTAACATTTAGTTGAGTTCGGAATCACTGGGATGTTATGAGATCTGCATGAGAACTGGATTCAGTTCTGCCTCTAACAGATACACTTTAATCCTTCGCTTAAATGTTCTGTCATTTCTCTAATCATTTCACCGACAAATCCAGGACAGTGTTTACATCTCTGACGTGCTAGTAACGTCAATACTTTCTCTACAGGTGGAGCGTCTGAGGAGTGTGGCAGAGGTGTCGCTCATTTTCTTCTATGCGCCGTGGTGCGCTCACTCCATGGCTGCCCGACAGGAAGTGCAGCAGGTTGCTAAGAAGCTGGCCAAACAGGTAGAGGACACCTGCGGCTGCAACACACTTAAATTTCACAAATTGAAAGTTGTTGACTAGTGTGTCTGACTGTTGGGATGTCCCGCAGAAGATGTTGTTACATCCTCACACGTGGCTGAGAATGATAACACAACACATCCTGTCTGTGGTCTGGAAGAAGGTTTGTTTGTTTGTTTGTTTCACTCTCATTCTCTCACACTCAGGTGCAGTTTGTGGCTGTTAACTGTTGGTACAGTCAGGGGAAATGCAGGAGGCAAAACCGCCTCTACCATTATCCCATCATCCATCTGTTTTATCGAAGGTGAGACGGAGAGGACGTCATGATGATTAATAACATGTACAAATGATGCATCACATCCTTTAATTGTTTTTTAATCTCCTCTTTGCTGCAGGTTTGGACCCATCGAGTACAAAGGTCCATTCGTGGCTCTGTATGTGGAGAATTTTATCCTCAGAGTCATCACGCCGCTCACTTACCTCCCGTCCAGAGCCACACTAAAAGAGTTCCTCTCGTACCACGAGGTATTCGTTGGCCTCAGGCCCACAAAGTTTATCCCTGACTGTGTGCGCTGGTCGATAATGTGCTGTTATGTGTGAGACATATCCTGACTGGCTGTGTCTTTTGTACTTCCAGCCTCGTGTGGTGGGTTTCTTCCAGTTTAACTCGTCTCCTCAGCCGCCAGGGTACATCACGTATTTGTCTTCGGCCCTGCAGGCTCTCAAAAGAGGTAAGAAACGGTTGTACAGCAGAGAGACTGGTTCCAACGAATCCTTCGAAGTTTGTCATCATTTCTAGAGCTGGAGTGTCTTCTGGATTAGTTGATAAGTGAATTGAGATAAAATAAATCAGCATTTTTCAACCAAAAGGAGCAGCTGTTGATTCAAGAATCTTTAATGTTCTTCTCTTTATCGTATATAACATAATACCAAGAAATATAAGCAACAATTATTTCCATTATCCATTAATTTAATTGGTTGTCTTAATTTTTCTGACGTAGATTTCCACGGAGTCATACGTTTCGGGGTCGTGACAAACAAACAGGTGGCCGAGGCCATCTCACTAAAAGAAGATCAAAGTGTTTATCTCCACAGAAGATTTAACTCCTCTTTGGTGAGAAAGTCCTGATATACCACAAACCACGGCCGAAGAATATATTGAAATACTGAATGAACTGTACTGTCATTTAAGATGTCTCAAATGTTTTCCTATGCCTTCAGATTTTCCCTCGACTGGAACGTAACTTCACGTCACAGGCCATCTGCAGCTGGGTGTTCGAACACCGTGAGACCGTCCTCCAGTGGCTGCAGCCGCCGGGAACAAAGTCCCGCCTCCTGGAACAGGAGCTGACTAAAGGTCCGGCGCTGCTGCTCTTCCTGCCGCACGATCCGCTCTGCTCCAAACCCAATCCCATCCTACACCAGGTGAGCAGTGATAGAGTGAAAATAGCTTTCTTGTTTTTATCTTATTTTAAATATCTAATTTTGCTGGGGTTTTTTTTTTTGGTTTTCAGATTGCTGACATTGCTCTGCGTTACCATTCCTGTGACATTAATAACAACTCCGGCTCGGACGGGAGATCCCACTTGCTGTGCTGCCAGTCGGTTCTCCTCCCAGAGTCCAGGACAAGTGTGTGTGAGGTGTGTCTCAGCTTGTCAGGACAGAGTCGGAGCAGCTCCTCCGTACGCTGCTCGTTCCCCTCCACAGCTCAGGGGGGAGACGTGTTGCGGCCTCATCTCCAACACTGCTGCCTCCACCGACTTCCTGCTCCTGTGTCCAGAACAACCGCCTCCTCAGTCGGCTGTAGCAACTTTCTGAACAGCTACAGTCCGTTCAGTCAATACAGTGCCTGCTGCAGAAAAGTAGAACCTCAACTCAATGACTCACAAGCCAAAGAGGGGCCGGACATGCCAAGACTCTCCCTCACGCCCCCTCTGTCCATCCCTCCGTCGTCTGTCACTCAGCAGAGAGGAGACGGCATCACAGGGCTCCGGTGTCAGACCAACAGGACGCTCAGGTTTTATCTGCTGGACGTTGCTCTGAACTGGCCTCTGGCCGTGAGGCTCGGAGCGACAGGCAACAGAACCGCTGCCCTTCACCAGGAGGCTGGTAACCCAGGTGACGGGAGCAGCGACCGGTCGTTCGCAGCGATCGTGAACCTGAAGGACGAGGTTCACTACGTTCTCCATCGCAGCCCGGCAGCCACACTAACGGAGGCTCTGGGTAAGACGAGGACATAATTACACTCAGTGGCCACTTTATTAGGTACACCTGTTGGGTCTAATGCAACAGCTGTGTCATGAATTCTACCTTTTTAAAAAGATGGTAATGTTTTTAATTTATACTGTGAGCTGGTATTCAATTAACAAGATGTTTAGTATGGTGGTTATATTTTGAAATTGTGGTGAATGCTACTTGTGGCGATGTCACTGGGGTCTCACCCCAACAGGAGTGAGAGTGTCTCTCACAGTGTGTGTGTCTCTCACCGCATCTGTGTCCCTCACTGCTTTTGTCTGTCCCTCGTCCCGTGTGTCTCCCTCTGGCAGCTCAGCTGTTTCCTTTTGAATCCATGGAGAGGTGATTGGCCAACTAGTCTCAGCTGTGCCAATCACCTCCCTGCTCCCCCTGGAGCTGCTCTCTGAGCCTCCTCCACTCTACGACATTTACAAACATGTGGGGACGGAATATTAGAAACTCAACAGCCATTCAGATGAGTTAATAGTGAAGACACAGAATATGACTAATGAATAATGAAGACATGGCTAGTTTTGAGACGCCAACAGTCTTCAGTGGCGGCAGCAGTTCAGAGTATCCCAGTTAATCACTCATTTAATTGTATTTGAACTTGATTCTCTGTTTTCATTGTGTGTGTGTTAAAGAGGCCTTCATCAGGAACTTCAGTGCTCCGCACAGTGTCTTGCAGAGGCACTTGGTGGGAGAGGAGAACAGGAAGGGAGGTGAAGAGGAAGCCAGGCGTCTCCAGCAGACGTCTCCTCGCCCCCTCATCACAGAACTGACCACCTCCTCCTTCCTGCCCTCCATCATGGATCTTGAAAAGGTGACGCAAGTGACGCTACTTAAAAATCTCTCTCCTCTCCGTGTATTTGTGTGAGAGGGTCGGCATTTCAGGCACCGTCCTTTAAAAGTTAGAGGTTGTTTAAAAACACTAACGGTGACTCAATCCTAACAAATGATTCTCCGATGTTTGTGCCGGAGAAGTAAAATCTCTTGTTTGTGGGATGATTTCTCACTGTGCTCACAGTTCAACAGGACAGACACGACATACAAATAAAACCATATATGTTTGTGTGTGTGTAGGATGTGCTGCTGTTCTACTACACTCAGTGGTGTGGATTCTGCTCCGTTCTCAACCACATCATCATCCACCTCGCCAGATTATTACAGGGAAACAGCACCATCACCGTGGCCAGGTAACGCCGGTCTTCCGTATTTTCACTGTTTCTGAACCCACTGAGACCGTTTACCCATAATTATACCCACAATCCTCTCTGTGTAGGGTGAATGTAGCTCGCAACGATCTTCCCTGGGAGTTCATGGTGGATCATGTTCCCTCTATTCTGCTCTTTCCCAGATACAGGTGAGAACTAGAATTGCACTTTCATTGCAAACAGAGCGAACACCGAATACACAGTTCCCTTAAATAAATTCAATCCAGCTGCATCGATTTACACGCACTCATAGATATCAGATCCCTAAATATGCTGATTTTTGAAACAGGATTCATGAATTATTCTCTGAGAAATCTCTGAGTTCTTTTTGGTCCATTTCCCATCATTCCACCAAGTTTCATGGAAATCCAGTCTGCGTTTTTCAGTTTCATAATCCTCCTGTCAAACAAACCAACAAACCAGCGGCCAGGGGTGAAAACATAATCCCCTTGGTGGAAATATTGACCAGTCTGATAGACACACAAATATTTTTAAATGTGCATTTTCCATTTATATCTGGTCACTGTTTTTTTTTTGTATAGAAAGATGAACGTTGGAATGAAAAACCTCACAGCTCTCGTATGGAATATAGATTTACAGGAGAAAAAAAGCCTCCTCAATGAATTACAGTGGCGTTCACCCTTGTTCTCTTGTTTCTTCTTGTCTTTAAGAAAACATCAGAGTGTAAAGTTTCCAGAAGATCTTCCCATCACGTTACCCAACCTCCTGCACTTCATCCTGCAACACTCTGGCTCTGCACACGATGCAGACAAACCAGTGACAGCCTCTGACAAGGCCGACGGTTCAGGTCCCACCTCCATCCTCCGTGCAGAGTTCCTGGCACTGCAGCGGGAAGTCCAAGCGCTGCATCACGCCCGGGAACGTCTCTCCCAACAGTTGGCGCAGCTGTGGCGCTACAACCGGCGCCTGACATTTGACACTCGCAGCTTAGAATCCCAGAACTCTGAGCTGCAGCGGGAGAGGCAAAGCCTGGAGGAGCAGCATCATGAGAAAAGCCGGCTGCTCGGGAAAGCGGTGAGACGCCTGCAGGAGCTGGCAGACACCTCTGAGAACCTGCTGAACGAGAACACGCTGCTCAGGATCCTGCTGAGGGCGCTGAGGGACAGGACGGAGGCTCAGGAGCAGGAGCAGGAGGAGGAGGAGGAGGAGAGTAAAGAGACAGAACAGAAAAGAAGTTATATGGCCTCCTAAACACACGTCTGCAGGGAATCCTGAGGAGGAGACAGCAAGGGAGGACTGGGAGGGACGGGAAAGAAAGCTGTGATTAGACCTGAGCGGATAAAATGAAACTGAGATGAGGAGCTGATGTAAAACCTGAGGGGCAACAACCCACAGTAGTAAATCTCATCACAGCAGCAAACGAGGATGAGACGACGGTTACGATCTGTCGTGAGGAGAAACGTAGCGAGTTGTGATGATGGAGGGAATTATCCACTCACACTGTAGTGCGGGAATTCAGTGCCAAGTCACATGACTCAGTTCTGATGCTGCGCTTTGAAATAACCTAATGTAAAAAAACACTCTGCAGCCAAACTGTCTGTCGTCCCCGAATCACTGTCAGTCCTCATCTGAGAGACGCTTTTCAAAGAACGAGTGGTAACAATGACTTTACTAAATATTTAATTATTATGACTACGACAGTTCAGATGATAAGTTTGAATTTCCTCAACACTAACTCCATCAGTGCAACAACAGAGTCATGGTAAAGTCGTCACCGCTGCTCAGCTTCTATTTTCAACAGAAATTATTTTTTCAAACTCGTAATTTATTCCGGCCGTTTCCTTTTTTGCCGTCTCCCAATCAGCTACTGTTAGCACTTCCTGATGTCCTTCAAAATAAAAGCCAAGCTATGAAAGAAAGCCTGTCCAAAAGTCCTGGAGGTGCAGGAGTGATGGTTTTTATACCGGTGCGTAAATTCCTGTTTTATGTATTTCCAGATAATTTTCTTCGGATGAATTGTATATTTTTGTAAAATTTAAATTGAAAATAGTGACTTCTTAGTTTCTTAATTTCCATATGCAGCGTCGGCACAACCCTGGTTGGTGAAAATACAACGTGATAGAAACACACACTTGAAGGATTAAGTTTCCATTAATAAACGGATGAGAAATAAATATTAACTGAGGTTTTACGTGGGGCAGACTCTGTCGTATCTGGAAGTTTGTTATAACACCAGTCGTGTTTAGAATTTAAACATCCGTCTCACAGCTGTCTCTGTTTTAATGAAGTTTCTATCAAGCTACATGTTTCTGTCCCGAAGAAGGAAACAGGGGACTTATTAAATTAAGTGTCAACCAATGTTGTGTTTAAATCATTGTTGCTTTAAAGCAGCGCTATGCAACTTTTTTGCCTTAAAATAGCAGCTTCATTAAATGAGTTTGATGTTTCAGTGAGTGTGAATGTGGAGAATGTTTCCTCTTCACCCTGAACGTCTGTTCTATGTAACTCTGGTGAGTGGGTTCGCTCTCCTGTGAGAACAACTGACTGAGAGTCACAGCTTCAACCGTCGGAATCAGTTCCAGCAGGTTCAAGAGTGAAGCTGAACTGTTGATCTGTTAAAAAGACTTAGAAGTTATTTAAAAACCAGAGTTTATCTGGAATATTCAGTTCGGTTGATTTCAGCTCTTCTGGTTCAGGAAGCCAGGGATCATGGGTAATATCCAGCGTTCAGTTGTGTTTCAGTTCAGTGGAAATACGCAGTTACATTACATGCTGCTTTAAAACAAGTCACAGAGGAACGTCTGCGTTACAGTGAAGTTAACAGGTTTGGAGAATATTGGAAAATAAAAACTTCCCTGAGGTCATTTGAATGTGACTGTGTGAGGATTTACAGGAAACTCTCACCTGCTGCTCTGCAATCCTTTAATTTAATGCACAGCTGCAGGTGAGAGTCGGAGAGTTTGGCTGCAGAGTAAAAGGGCTACTAATGAAGCTGAGGTTTATTTAAGAGCACTTGAAATAATCAGCTGTTTCTGTTTGTGTCTTCTTTTTTTTTTTTTTAAACGGGGAATAATTGTTTTGTTAAACTGATCTATTTTTCCAGGAATCTTTCATCTTTAAGTCACTAAAATATTATTTCTGTGTAACTATTCAGGTATTAAGAACAAGATGCTGCAATTGTTTACATGTGAAATATTGCACCAGTTTTTACTGATTAAAAATCAATTCTTCTTATTGGCTTCCTGTTTATTTATTATTGTGGTTGATGTGTGACACTGTCCAGTCAGATCAACTCACCACTGCCATAATAAATGCCATATCTACATCTTTAATTATTAGGTAAAGTCTTTGACACCTCTTATTATTATATGTATAAGTTATATATTAATTGCATATGACTGACAGTCCTCTTTTCCGGTTTTACACTAATATACATTTTAAAACGAACATATCTGACCTCATCCGGTAACTTGACGATAAAAGAGCTTAAACTAAAAATGTTGAATTTAAAAAAAGTCTAAGAGTCAAAGATGATCTTAATGTTTAATGTTTCACCTCACTTAGCAAAGTTTTAACTGAATGTTCTGAAATCTAATAAAATATTACAGGGGACAAAAAATGGGCCTGCATATATTTTTACTTTAACCACCAGTAGGAGGCGCTGCAGCCCCTTCAGTATCACTATCCCTGAGTGTCCTTGAAACAAAAGCCCCCTGACCATCATGTGATCAGGGACATTGTGTTGAAATGATGTCATGACACCAGAATAATTGACCACCTGACGAATGTGTCATTTATTTTCATTTCTCTTCCCGTCACGTCAGATTTTCTACTTCTGACCCACAAACTCTGTTTTGGTGCCAACGACCCTCACGGTCGAGTTTATGATCACAAAATATTGAGATTAAAAGAATCTTAAAAGTCAAGAAGGCAAATCCAGTGTTTTCATGTGTTGAACAGAAAGTGCGTGACCCTGAATCTTCTGCCTCCATGTTCAGCAGGGACGTAAATACCAGCTTTAATTTGAAGCAGCGGAAACATGTGCCGCTCATTTCTCCCTGAATCAAAGTCTCATGCTCTGAAGACACAGAGATGTTTGATGTCTTTCAACAGATCTCATGTTTTATACATATATATGTTTGATCCAGTTCCTGGAAATACTCAAAGCTGCACTCACTGTTTGTCCTTACTCCTTATTTTTATATTATATGTGATTTTTTACAGTGTTAGCTTCCTCTAAACTGATGTTAAAATAAAATGACTTTTGTTTCAAACATATTGAGGGTTATTGTAATTAGAGTATTTAAAGGTTGTAAGTTTTCTGTCCCTGCGTTTGTGTAAATGAAAACATGTTTGCTTCACGCTGTAAAACAGAATCTTCTTCCATTGTCAGTGACAGAAGAAAAACACCATTAAAGTTTGGAATGAGGAGCAACTTTAATGCACTCATGTGGAAAACAGGAACTTTACGGATGGTGGAGGTTGTTGTTGTGAAACTGGGGATGAGTCGGGGTTGGGTCAGAGAAATTCACACAGAAAACTTCTGCGGAAACAAACAAGGTTAGAAGAGAAGGTGAAGCTCATCCTGCAGGAAACTGTCCGACCTGCAGCCACACACTCGTCCACAGAACCTGTGAGTATCTGTTTGAAGTAAAGCTGTTGAACAGATTGTGTATTTATATGATCTCAGTGTTTTGTTACAACTTATTTTCATGTTGATAAGTAGCATATTTTTTTTACTGAATGCAATATTACTAATATATTATTTATAAATCTGTTTTATAAATCTGTTTTATAAATCTTTTTTTAGTTAGTGAATCATGTAATTTGCATTAGTCATTAATTTGCACAACCTGTATTTACGTTCACCTTTGATATGAATTGTTTCCAGGGACAATGGCAAATGCACAAGTTCCTGTTGGTGAGTGTCCTCGTATGAGCAGCGGAGCTCAAATTTACTTTACTGATTAACTCTGGACAAAACCAGGAGCTCGTCTCCATTTTCTCTCTCCCTCTCTGTCCTCGTGCAGCGACAGTGGGTCCTTTGGGAGACAGTCCGGTTCAGGTTGTCTGTCCTTCATGTCATCAGGCCGTCCTCACCAAGGTGGACCACACCTCTGGTTTGCTCACCTACCTCTTCTGCAGTGGTCTCTTCTTCTGTGGGTAAGAAGCACTGAGGTCTCTGTTACTTTCTAATTTAAACGTCTTTCTGAAAAAGTTCTGTAGAAAGCTGATGAGTAGTTTTTGCCTGATTCTGCTGACAAACAATCCAACCAACCAGTGGACAGATATTTCCTCCCTAAATGGAGTTAAATTGATAAATGGTAAAACAATATCATGTGTTTTACATATTGTCCTCTCAGCTTTGTTTTAGGTTGCTGTCTCATTCCGTTCTGTGTGGACCGGCTGAAGGACGCCAGACACTCCTGTCCGACATGCAAGGCGGTTCTCGGGGTTTATAAACGCTTATAGCTGAGCAGCAACAATCGCTTCATCCTTTAAATAGTTGATCAACAGCAAATTAATCAGCAACAGCAGTTGTTAGTTTTCATCCCCAGGTGATGAAGTGGCCGGTCAGGGGTTAAACCTGCAGCACATTCCTCAGTTCACCACCTTCTCAATGAAACTGCTGAATTCAGAAAATCGAATTATGCAGAATGTAACTGTAATAAAATTATCCACTGACACAGTTTTATGTCAACTCATGCTTTTTATTCACTTGTGAACTGCTGCCTTGTTACTTGTCGTCAGATTTACTTATACATCCATGTTGCGTGTAACTATTGGTTCTAAGCGTTTGTGTTAAAATGACCGGACAACGTTTACTCTTTTCTCCCTCAGTTAACTGTGACAGAGCTCAGAATGAGTCCTGAAGACTGTGCATTGACAAAACATTATCTATTTTATTATTAATCTCATAAAGCTCACAGGAAAGAAAGTGCTGTCTCAAAATTAATACACAACAGTGAAGATTAAGGCAAAAGAAATGCAGCAGAAACGGTCACCTTCATTTGTTTTAGTTTATCCTTCTTTTCAATAATTAAAAAATATAAAGCTTCAGGGGAAGAGCTCGTAAAATTATTCATGTGAAAGGTTTGAGAGAATATATATTCTTCCCACAGAGAACAGAATATATTATTTACATCTAATGTGTAATAATCGTAATGTAATATGCAGCCGTTATATAACCTCAGCAGCCTCACCTTTTATTTCTATTAGAGATAAATAAAAACATTATTTCATATTTTCCACTCAACCAATCTGGACTTTCATATAATCAGCTGCTTCGGTCGAGGTTCCTCACATCACAACGTGCTCAGAAGCAAAGAAAAGCACGAGGAGGAGAAAGAGGGAGAAGCCAACGTCTGCTCCGATGCGGGAACCGTGACCTGAAACAGAAAACACAAGAGAGCGGTAGTCAGTAAAATATTTCTGATTATACATCTAATTTAGAATGATATAATTTAAGATAAGAGGGAAGTAAAAAATGCAGAGTATGTACATTATATACATCTTTCACTTCACAAATCTCATTTATGCTCAATATTAGATTTGTCTACAGACGGAACGTTCTGATCGTTCTCTGCTCTCGGAAAAAAATCCTCATTTATTGACGTCTTCGGGAAAGTTTAAGGACAAAAGTGTAGAAACGGAGCAGTACCACCAGAAACTGTGGTGTTTTTGTGTGTTTTTAATGCTGCTGGGGTTTTTAACAGTTTTCTGAACTTCATCCAACTGATTCACTTCTCACCTGTGGTGGTAGAAGAAGTCGAAGTGGAGCTGGTGGATCCAGACACAGTAGTGGTTGACGATGAGGAGGATGTTGGCGATGGGGAGGATGTTGGCGATGGGGAGGATGTTGGTGATGAGGAGGATGTTGGCGATGGGGAGGATGTTGGCGATGGGGAGGATGTTGGCGATGGGGAGGATGATGATGACACACTGCTTGAGTCCGTGATGGCTGTAGCAGGGTTGGCGGTTGTGGTGCTGGTGCCAGCCTTCCCACCCGTGAGTCCAACTGACAGAGTATCAAGCTCTGATTGGGGCTGACTCCTGATCCAGGTCTGAACCACCGTTTGGTTTTCATAGGACTTCAAATCTCCCAGGTTGCTGCCAAGAAGATTTTGAACGTCACTAACGGTCAGATTCTGTGGAGAGAAGAACAGGAAATGTTCATCTTGAGTCCAGACTACAACTGGTAAGAAACTTGAAGAAATTCTCAAAAGGCAGACTTGAGATCAGACACATGTTCTGTGAGGCCACTTTGATCTTTGACCGTCCAAATCAAAGGCCTTCTTGAGATATTGTGTTCACAAGGGGAAAAAAAATGTTTTTCGTCACAGCGATCTTAGTGAAATTCTGCTTCAGAATCAGTTTTGCTCAGAGACGTGTGATAATCAGTCTCTTGTAAATGAATGGTGCTGAACAACTGCGTCTGTTCTGACTGTGAAACCACGGTTGGAGACCTGGAACACTCGCTTAACATTTCAACTTTGACTTTGTTCCGCACATTTTATATTAATTCTCCAAACTTTGTTCTTGGCATTGAGACTTGATTCACAAAAAACAAAAAGAATCTTCCTCTGCTAATTTAGCTCTGTGTTGACAGCGGTATTTTGTCCAGCTGTAGTGTGTAACTGCAGGAACAGAGTATTAGAGTACAACAACCCCTCAACAAAAACCTCACAAAGATTCACTACACTGATGAATAAAAGAAATACAATAACAGACACACACACACACACACAGCTGACCATTATAACGCTGTCATCCAGACTGGTGAAGGTGGCCAGGTCCATGCTGACATTGGAGCTCACCAAACTTTGGATAAATGATAAATCAGCGCCCCCTGCAGGATGGAAAAGAAATGTCACTCTCTATTTTTTTCTGCAGGCATTATGAATATGTGTGTGTCGGTGTGTGTGTGTGTGTGTGTCTTCCTACCAAGATAAGCAGAAATAAGCTGGTAGTTGGATAAGGAGATGAGGTTTGTGCGGGTCACGTCTGTAAACGCTTGTCTGGCGATGGTGAACAGTTCCTTCTTGTTCTCTCTGGTGCAGGCGGACACATTGAGGGCGTCGGCGTCTCTGCAAGACACAAACATGCAGAGTAAGAGATGAGAGATGTGTGAGAGCAGCCGTGTTCAGGACTGTGTGGCAGGGGCTAGAAAAACCCCTGACAATAAATGGAATGTTCATAACATGTTCGTAATGATTTAGTGACGTCAAAGGCTGAGGAGCGAGTATGACCGGACCTTTTCTGTCAGGACGTCCAGTCTATTGAACAAACTTTTCTGAAATCCCTTTTCGGAGTCACACGCCTGTGACTTCTTACCTGAGGCTTTGTATGGAAATGTTCTTCAAAACGTCAACATCCAGCACGCACAGGTTGACTCCTCCGATGGTGTTGAGCTCCGCACTGCCGAGTTCATTCCCTGCATTACTCAGATAGTTGGAGATGACGGCCTTGGCCTGGGCGAGAAGGAACGAGCACTCATGAGGACACAAGCATGTGCGCACACAGGATGCACGACACTGTTCACTTTGTTAACGGGTTCGCTCACCAGGCTCGAGTCCCAGTCCCCGTTAGACGAGTCCATCAGAGCAGACAGCGTGTCCACCTGAGTGATGCTCCACTTGTTTATGTCGCTGACATTGGCCACACGAGACGCTGGACCCAAGAGCTGAACCTGGTCCTCTGGGATGGTGGTGTTGTGAGCATACGCCTGTAAAAGTGTGAGAATCAAGAAGTAGACTTCGTCACTTAATGGAGAATCAGCCACGAGGACTTGTGTTCAGGGCCCTGGAGCCAACGGGAACCCTACACCTACTAACTCCATCTAGAAGGTTGTTATGTTTTCATAGACGTTGGTTTGTTTGTTTGCAGGATTACGCAAAACTAGTTTCCAGAGCAGTTTTGGTGCAGATCCAAGAATTTGATTTTACTTTCCTCAACATTTTCCTTGATTTCTCAGAGAATAATTCAGAAGAAATATATTTTTCACTGCAGGTTTTTGTGATCGTATGCGGCTCTGTACTAGACTTGATGTTAATTCATGCGAACTCATGTAAACTTGATATCCAAACATCAAAATATATTAATCCCTCACATTTGGTGTTTCGCTCACTTTAAAAAGGCTTTTAAAATAAAGCAATCACACCCTCCTACCTCATGCAGCTTTTGGAGAATGATAGCGAGGTATGCCTCATCATCCACCTTCTGCGTGATGGCGTCCAGGTTGTCTTTAACAGTCTCCGCGCTGAGGCAGCAGTTGAACTGGGTCACGTCGTCATAATCGAAGGGGAACGTCGCATCGCTAATGGTCACATGAGTGATTGTTCCCACAGTGCACTCCGATGCTGTAAACACAGAAAGATCATAACTAAAATAATAAAATCATGATGAGAAACAGAAATCCAGAGACAATAAGCAAGAGGCTGACCTATGGATCGCTTTGACTTCTTTCGATTGGACTTTCTTATTTGTTTCCTCATCCTCCTCCTCTTCTGTCTGCCCACTCTGTTACGCGTCAGGAGTTTCAGGAAGTCCCTTAAGAACTTGCGCTTTGTTTTCTGCTCGCAGGAATGAAACAGACGTCTCAAAAAACCAAACACCATCAACTTCGGTCCATCACTGAACCTTTAAGTCACCTCATTCCCCGACGTTAATGTGTTCACGTGACACTTACTTTGTCAAATTCATCGTAGAAAGCTGAGGTCATATACAGCGGTAACATGCCGAGGTCCTCCAGAGTCTGTTGATCCCATGTTGACGTCGCTCTGTAAAAGAAAGTGTAAAAAGAGGCTATCACAAGCAACAGAAGAAAATCTGTGGACAAGGACCAACAATAACCATCTTGTAAAAAACGTAATGAGCTGTGTCGTTGCTGTTGACGTACCCGTACTGTGTTTTCCCGCTCAGCAGCAGGGTCTGAGCTGCAGAGGCCTGAGCTTCAGTGAGGTCTGGGCAGTTCTTGAGTTTTTCCAGAATGTATGAGTCCGAGTTCTCGATGTAGGATCCATCCAGAGTGCAGCACATGTTTCCCAACACCATTATATTATCCTTAGTCAAACTTGTGGTTGTGATACCCTGAGAAAATAAAGAACAGGATTAAGACCTCATATGTTTATTTGGAAAGTTGTGCTGCACATGTAGAAATACTGATATTTTATTTTTAAATTACTTATTAATAATTTTATTTAGTCCTGAGGCAACTTTAATCTCCCTTCAGTAAATTTAACAGCATAGCTGACATGCGGAGGTCCAGAGGCGCTGCATGTGAGAACACAAATGTCCGTTGTCAGTAGCTAAGGACATTTTCGAGAACTTTTCCTTCCTTCCTTATAAAATGTCTGGAAACAGTCAGAGTGAGGCCATGTGAGAATACAGAAGGCTAACGGCGAGCAACTGGGTGTGTTTATCACGTTTCCAACATGCGACAGACGCTAAAATGTAAGAATCCAAATATCTCGGGATGAAAATGAGAGAACGAAGATATTTCAAAGTACGATGTCTGTACTTTTGTTGGAACTCACCAGGCAGCTCCTGGCGTTAGCAAACAGAGCCGTACGTTTGTAGCTGAGGTCGGAGGAGAAGACTTCGAAGTCTGCGTCCGCCAGCTCTTGAAAATACGACCTGCAGCTGGCCTGAGGCACCAGAGAGTAACTGTAGGGAGAGAGGGAAGAAACGGTGACTAACATGAACTGCAGCTAAACCTGTTTTTAGCTTTGGTCTAAAACAAAACTCACCTATAGTACAGAAGCAGGTCAGGAGGATAGAGGTCGAAGCTGGTGACGTCTGAGTCTCCTTTAATGTAGTTGTACATGCACGTCAGCTGTGGTGAGATAGAGACAGAGTCAGTTTCACCTTTACTGAAGCAGCAAGCAGCGATTTCAAGGTTCAGGGATTGTTATCGTCGTCTCTCACCTGAGTCTCCACCAGTTTGACCTTCTTGTTGCCTTTTCTGCGACAGGCTTTAACCAGCTTCTTGATCTGCACCTTTTGAATGGTCCTCACTCCAGTGCAGGTGAACCCTTGTAGCACAGACGAGGACAAACTACACACACACACACACACACGTTGTAATCGTATGCACATACTGAAAATCATACAGGACATTTATTTTCCGACTGAAACTTCTTCCTAACTCACTTGTTCACACCTCCCAGCTGCGCAGTTGAAGTTTCCGTAGCTATTACACTGAAGAATAACTCCACCTAATGGAAAACGCGTGACATGTAATGACCGACAGCAGGCGTGTTGCATGATACAAACGTGTATTTCATGGGTGCGTCGCTCTACCTGCTGCCGCTTCCATTTCTTCTTGTTGACCTTTTTGATAACGTTGCCATTGTTGGAGAGGCCCAGCAGCAGAGCTCGAGGGATCTCAGTGGCCAGTTCATCCGGAACATTCTCTATGATCACCTCACTGTTGGTGTTCACCGCCACGATCTGAAAAAGCCGTTCAAATGTGACCTCAATGTGTCTCAAGTGCAAATGCAAATCAACACGTATGTAATTGAATCTGTTCCTCCAAATTGTTTTTTCTGTCTGATCTGCTTTCACATAATTCCTGAATTGAGAGTCTCGAGATGTGAGATGTTGTGTGACTGTTGTACCTGAGTCACAAAGATCTGCTGGACGATCTGTGGAGCGGACATCAGGTTCACCAGGAAAGCAGAATCTTTAGACGTAGTGATAAGCTGGGAGCCGTTGATGCTGGTGAACACTTTGGTGGGAACACCCACAACAAGAGAGCCCAGCATGAGCAACGACAATGAGTCCTTGATCTGGTGAGAGGAAGACGAGGGGAACGTGATGATGATGGGAAACATTTCAAATCAAACCACAGTTGGTGAAGCAAACAGTGACAGACGGACAGTTTACCTCTAGCTTCCCTGACGACATAATGGACTGGATAATGGCCTTGGCCTGACCCTCGTTCCAGCCCATCACTGTGCTGAGGATGCTCAGCGAAGCAACCAGGGCCTCAGGACTTATCATCTTGATCTGGCCTGTGGACAGGCTGCTGCTTTCATTGCCGAGGGCAGCGATATTCGTGGAATCAATGTTGTCACCGAAGTTACTCGCCAAAGCTGCAGAAATCTACCATCAAAGAAATGAATATTCAGAGTGTATTCTCTGTACAGGTGAAACATGGAAGCTTCAGTACACATACACCTTTTGGACATTTTTGTCTTTCTTGATAGGACAGCGTAAGTGTGAAATGGGGAGAGACAGTGGGGAAGACCAATCAGATCAATCTCAGTGAGCTCCTCGCTCCCTGTATAGAAGTACCTGCTTTAATTCTATCTGTACTTTTTTATTTTCCACTGCTAATAATGTGTGTTTTCTACCTGTGGATCCAGGTCCGTACAGACATTGGTCAGGTTGCTCAGTACTGCGACACTTTGCGCTTCAGTCAGCTGACTAAACGCTCCACCTGGAGCGACGCAGCGAAACACCAGAGGCAGACTGCAGAGAGAGAGAGAAGAGGGGATTTAGGTGTAAAAGACATTTGGAGGGTAAAACACGTTCCACAGGTTGAGACTCACTGAATGGGATTGAAGTTGCTGTCCTGCTGATACACAAGCTCAGTGTAGTAGTTGGTGAAGTTGAGCGGTAACACGGAGTGGTTGAAGAGGGCGATGTTCTGCAGATTCACTGTGAACACCTGGATAACCTGAGGGGAGGAGGGAGGGAGCGATGAACTGACGAACCAAACTACAGATCATCAACATAACCTCATTTATTTATTTACTAATCAGCCTGTGTTGTAGTTTAGAAGCGAGTTCAGTACCTGCGATGATCCAAAGGCCAGGAGATAGTCCAGAGTGAGGAAAGGAGTGAAGGAGCCGATGTAGTCGGCAAACCAGGCTGTAGAGTTTAGCTCTGGGTTGCTGGAGTTGTAACATCTGGGCACCGTCGCTACAACCAAACATTATAAACATTTTAATAAAGAAACTTTACTCATAGAAATAAAACTAACTTTACAAATAGAAGAAGCAGAGCAGAAATATAATTCATTTTCTGTTGTTTATTCAGGTATGGGCGAAATAAGTCATAATGTGGAGTTTATTTATTGACTTTCTTTAACCTACTGCTAGTAAGTTCTGAAATTCAATAATTCTGGGCAATATGTTTTTTTTTGTCAATCATTTTCTGGTATGACCATGAAAATATGATTCATTCAAACCTATGTAATACTAAATGTAAGACTAAAAATGGTTGTAGGTAGTGATTGTTCATTGATCTTTTTTATTTCATTTCATTGTAAGAATACATTTTTTACCATATCTCATCTCGTCGGATCTGCAGACTGACCTGAGTTGAGGTAGTCCCTGATGCTGGTGAACACATCTCGCCTCATAAAGTCCACAGCAGTGTAGTTGTAGTCACCAAGAACTGAGACGCTGAAATAAAACAAAATGAAATCTGACACATTTTATTTTAAAATCACAATTTACTAGATCGCAGATGGTAAGTGCTTATAAATCTGACAAAAGTAAAAACAAAGCATCAACATGATGGTATCTAGCTTTTACTAGATAGATTTAAGTGCCACAAAACATGTAATAGGAACATGCAGGAAATACATGTAATATACATGTAAATGTATACTATGTGTGTTTTTTTATGCACTATATTGTCTTCATGTATTTTTTAAAACGTGCATACACATCATACGTACAGCTTTTGGAAGGCCACACAGGTGGCGTTGTGTGTGATGTTGGGGCTGATCAGAGTCTTTGTGAGGAAGACCAAGTAGTTCTTGAGGCTTCGGTCAAACCAGACGTTGACCTCTGACCTCTTGGAGCTGCTGAGAGCCATCGGCCAGACGCAAGGCAGCGTGGGTCGCCTCACCGCCTCCGGGAGAGACTCCTGTGGCGAATACACACATGCATGAGGTTACATCATAAACTCACTGTGGTTTCATTGTGTTTTTTGTTTTTGTGGTACAAACTTTCTCCAGGAACTCTGGTGTCTGGGTGTAGCTGTTGAAGACGACACAGAGCTGCGCGTCACTGTCGACGATGTCAGGACGACGGAGGTAATCTCCAAGAGCCGATGGAGGCATGGAGTTCACCAACTAGAACAACAGGAGACATGACATGAGACATTCTCCTCATTTGTTTTCTGCTTCACACAGCCTTCTTTCATTTCTGGACATCAACCTGTGGCATCTTGTTGTGAGGCATGAGCGACAGGAAGGTGGTCAGGTTGGGGAACTGGAATCCCATGAACCTGCTCTGCAGGAAGCTGTAGTAACTGCGGTTGTAGTTGTCGCCGTAGCATTGGAGAGGTTTTGGTCCTTGAATAAGAGACAGAGTTAAAGAGGTGAGCCGAGTTAAAACCAGGAGGGAAAGTTTCAGAGATGGAAAATCTAAGGTTTTTAAATTTTAGACTGCATAAATACAGAGAAACACACAGACAGCACAGAGGAAGTTCTAATGAAATAACTAAATAGAATTAAAATTAAAACTTTGAAATCCCGTCATAAATGGAGGCTGGTGTGTAAAAAGATATTAAAAGGCAATATAGTCAAATAGCCAAAATAAATTCAATGATGTAAACCGGAGAAGCAAGAATCGATACAAAATATAAATAGAATAATGAAATAAATACTTTCCATGGATGAACACTTAAAATATGTTCACAACTACATCATAGTGTAGTGTTACGCATTTAAATCAACTCCTCTCTGAGTCGTTAACAAAAACAGTCATGCATTACAATTACTGTAAATGAAATAATTATGCTGATCACTTATTTTACCTGTTGTGATAATATATATTGTTACCTCTGACGAGGAGATCATGTTTTCATCAGCGTTTGTTTGATAGTTTGCATGATTGGATAAGTACTGAAAGTGGTTTCATGAATTTTGTGGCGAGGTGGGATACGAATCAAGAATATGAACTCATAACATTTTTGACTGGATCTAGATAAATCGGGCGCATCCAGGATTTTGCAACTGCAAATAATTTTCTTCCAGTGTGATTCCTTTACCTCTGAGCATCTGAATGATGTGGCTGTGGATTTCTCCCTTCGTCTCATTGCTCAGAGATGACATCTCTGAATTTAGGTTCATGACTCTGAAATTAAACAAGAAAAAAGAATAATGTTTCTGATATAATTGGCTCTGAATGTCTGAGATCACTTCAATGCTTTGAACAAATCACTTCAAGTAAAAACAATAATTATTTCAGTCACGGTGACGCCACACATACCCCTGCTCCTCGACGCTGCAGTTCCTTCCTGTCAGTATTTTGAAGAACGGTGCAATGTGGCGCAGCGACAGCCCGACCAGCAGCGGCGGCAGCCGAACGTTGAGCCACGTCATCACAACTGAGTCACCCACCGAGTCATTGGAGAGGTTTGCACGATCGAACACAACCTGTAACATGGCCGACCTCACCGGAGAGGGGATCTTGTCCACATGGGCCTAAAGAGAACAGATACAGAGAGGAAAGATTATAGATTTCCCAGGGATTCATGGATCTGGTGACTGCCGATCTCATGACGATTTGACTCTGATTTGGGGCTTTTGTCTGTGAGTTCCAAAATGTGTCAGCGATCAGAAATCCAGCAAAAAAAAAAGGAGTGACGTGAACTAAGCATTGGATGACTGATATTTATGAGTGTGAGCAGTTTGGTTCAGATCCAAATAAAAATTTCATACGGGGGCTTGGTGAGTGCCATTCTAGTTTTACTGATGCCATTCAAAGTTATTATCTCAGAGGATTGAAAGTATGACGCTCACTCACCATGATAGCAGGAGAGAACCTATCAAAGAAGGCAGGGAGCTGTTGGCTGGGGACGTATTTCATCACCATGTCGACCTCGGCAGCAGATTTGAGCTGACCAGGGGTGGAGGACATCTGAGCCAGCTGTACGACTGTCAGCGCTGGCAACGCTTGCAACTGCATGAACACAGACATATATCACATAGACTCCAAAAAACATGTTGTATGGAAAATATTCAGGAGACCCAATGCAGCAAAAGGTACCGCTGAGAAGTTGGCATAGAGCATCTGAAGTTCAGAGAAGGAGAGGAAGTCAGAGAAACCTCCCAAGTTCTTCTGCAGCCATTCTCCAGAGTTTTTGGTGTTGAAACTGCAGCTCGGGTCTGAAACACAAATTTCGAATAAGGATCAATTTCCAAAATCAGAAGTTTATTTAAAAAGCTTTTAACCTATGAAAGTCAAAGGTACATTGAACATATGCAGCTGAGATCCAAACATGTCTCATTCATCACTTTAACTTGAACTTATGTTGCTTTCAAACATTCATTTTAACTCAAAGACTTTGTCTTTATGTTGATATTGAGATGACGTACCTTCAGTGTTGTTCCTGGTCAGGAAAACCTTGATGAAGTACACGTAGATGGACTTCTGCTTGGCTAAAGTCATGTTTGGCCGGAGTTGACTCAAAATCTGCAGACTGAGTTAAAAACAACAAGATTCATGCAGAGGGGGACAATATTCTGACATCAGGAGTGAGAGACTCAGATTCTTGTTTTCAGAGCAAAGAGGTTAAAGGTCACAGGAAACATGTCGGAGGCTCCTGGTAAATGCAGAGCTGCTCACATGTGTTGGTAGGTGGTGCAGTTCAATCCCCTTGTGACAAAACATGACAGGAAGTCCGGGGAAACCGCCGACAGGAGCGGGCGTAGTCGGCGGTTGAACCACAGCTGGATGAAGTCAGGCTGGTTGATACTGACTATGTCTAAGACGTCCAATCGGATTTCACGTATGGAATCCAGAACCACTGACAATGCAGGATTTCTGGGGTCCAGAGTCTAAAAGAAAGGATTTTAAAAATAATCTCAGTATGATGAAGGTATATAAATATGGAGGACATGATGATCTATTGGTATTAAGCCCATCTTGGTCCACGTTAGTGGATGGTTCCAAATTATGGAAAAAAGCAAGATGGCGGCACCCATATCCAAATTTTAGCTTCAGTTTTGGAGGAAGTGGAGATACTGTATGTTGTCCATTAACGTAACTGACAGTTTATGGTCGATACCAATAACAAATCCAAAAACACACATTCTTGGACACAGAGTTTGATATTTGGGAAACGTTTGTGCATGGTTACAATGGGAATGATTCTAAATGGTCAAAGTTGTTTTAACCAGAGAGAATTGTTGATTTGTACCTTGTTGGCGAGAAGATCCAGAGCTTCATCGAGCACACGAGAGGCTTTGGAGAGCAGAAGCTTCCAGATGGGTCTGGATCTGCTGGAGTTTGACGAGCGGTTACACATTAGCAACGCAGCCAGATGTTCTGYGGTTAGCGCTGACAGCTGTGTGATGAAAGAGCAGGAACGACAACAGGTGAAAATCAATACACTGACAAACATTAAGTTGGTTGTTTTAAGTTCAGCTTTTAGGATATCAGATGTATTGTAATCTTACCGAGGCACAAGCAAATTGCTCAACGGCAAAGTCACACAAACGTCTGTCCATCTGGCCGCTGGAGAGAAGCAGCTGCAGCTCCGTGCTGTGGTTCAAAAAATTTGAGAGAAGCTCAAAATGTTGTCGCCATTATTACATTGACATTATAAACATGATCATATTTTGTGTTCACCTGTTCACTCCGACACAAATTTCGGTTTCTGTGGAGAAAACAGACAAATAACAGTTTAAATTATCATGAAAATAAACATTGAAATATTTCATTATTTTAATGTTTATTTCATAAGCAGAGGAACTTACCATTTGTTATAGTAACGCTGCACTGTGGGGAGAAGGTTAAGATGGTTATGTGTCTTTTATCATTAGACTAATAAAGAATATTTAAACCAAAAAATACCAAAAACACATTTACTTACATTTCCACCATATATGATGCAACCTATGAAGACACAGGTCAATGAAAATTACTTGATGGTATAGTTACAATATACATTTCCATTATGTCAACAGGGAATGTTGTAARAGTAAAAGTTTGAGGCTTAAGGATTAAAAAGATGAATTGTTATTTACACCTTTGTGTTAATGTGATTTTACAGACTGTGTCTCTCACCTGGTGGAAGGTGCTTGGACAAGAAGATCTTGCTGTAAGTGATGTTTGAAGCTATGTCAGGAGAAACTTCARTCRAGGCCATGTCCAGTCTGGTAAACCTGGAAAACCAAAACATGTGGAATTAACATCACAATGTTATAATTATTTATCTGGAAACCCAAMATACTGTAATGAGACATGAGCTTACAGTGTTTTGTACGATGARCAGGAAAGATTTCCCTTGAAAAACAGAAAACAAAGATGATTATTTCAAGAAGMRGTGSAAAKATTCTGAATGCAWAGATCTGTGCTCTTTTTACCKTTTGGAGGAACATGCCGAGGAARAACATGAACTCTGGAATTTTGTTTTGCTCAGGAGCCTCTGTCAGGAAATCAAACAGCCTATTGATGATAATGTCTTTGTCTGGAAGTGAAGGATGAGTGGACACCAGCAGCTCCGCACTCTGCTTTGGAGTCAGGAGTCGCAGGGCCTCCATCTAAAAGAAATAAAGGACGGAAGAAAAGTTATAACAAAGTAATAAAGGGATTGGTCTTKTATTTMTTTGTGTTCTGCCCTTACAGGTTTGAAGAGTGGGTTGAGATGCAGAAGCTCAGTGAGAGACAAAAATGCTGAAAATGGACCGAGGTTCTTCTTCAGCCACTCTGTGCTGTTTCCAGAGCC